TCATTTCTTAAACCAACACCAGACCTAGTGCTTCCAAGATTAGATATCACAGGGTGGTATCAGAGCCTTTTACCCTCAGGGATATTAAATCCAAACTTCCCGATTTAACTTGTTCGAACATATTCTCGCTGGTCATGTTATAACTAGAGACATTGCAAGCCAAATGAATCAAAACCAAACGCATTCTTTTAATAGACCAAAGCTATTCGGTCAAGCATTCAGAAGCGCATTCAAAATACACGATCACAATGAGGAAACGGCATTCTGACTTTTCCAAGATGCCCGAGGTAGTAGATGCCTTATCCTCTCTTTACGACACATATTTTGTTGCTAAAGTTCCACTGGATGCATAAACTTCACAAAGAGTCTTTTTACGAACAATTATATAACCAGTTGTTAAAGATTTTCCACTAAACATCTTTCTGAAGTTCTAACCATCATTTGTTCGACAGCAAAAGATGGCCTTCAAAAATGAGGTATATTTAACTAACGGTGTCAATCAGATGTGCATTCTTGAATATTCTAAAGATTTACCCAAAAATCATAAATCACTATCTTTATAATTTTACATCGACTCATTAAACAGAGCCTTTTCTACAAAAATAGGAAATGTGATACAAATTTTTTGTTTAGGTCATGACAAGTCTTACTTTGTTAAAAGCCAGACTGATTCCCTTAACAAATACACCGAAAATGCTGGACTTGTTGATCATATTTGTTGAGTTCTGCTTATTCATTTTAAGCAGACAGTCGTTATTCCAAGGAATACAAATTGTTCACCACTACCGACCGACTTGTTTTGACTTTAATGAAGCAGAATTCCTACAGAACCGGCTCAAAGACAAATACAAAAACCCGTGTTTTCTCACTCTACAACTCACATTTCATTGAAAGCTTTCATCTCAAATATCCTAGTGCACTTGAGATTTAGGATACTACCATAAGTTAAAGTTCTAATTCATATCTTGACCGTTTCCTCGATATCGTCACGGATGAACGACTTACAAGAATCAATAACAAACGTGACGATTTTAATCTTCCAGAGAAAAATAACCTCCATCGTATGGCATTTACATATCCCAGTTAATACCTGACGCTTGTGTATGTTCACAGTATAGACTTACCAGGGGTGTTCTGCTTACACAAAAACTGTTCCAACGAATTTATGAAGATTGACGACTGATTTCGACACTTTTTCATTCTTAACGGTTACAATTACAAATTGGCTGACAGATACGATGTTTCGATTTTCCAAATCACTAGCGACATGTTTTTGCAGTCTAAGATCTTAGATACCTGTATAAAAAAGAATAACAAAATTGCCGAACTCCAAGGAAAATTCAAAACGGAAAGTCCTTTAGCAAATGGCAAATTCAAAAGCTCAAACACATCAAACGAATGGATAACAACTGTCATATTCCGGAGTTGGTACAGGCATTTTCTTATGTATAAAATGGTAAAGCCGTGTATTGCGTAATTTTGCCAACTGTGTTTAATCCTATACTCAACGTCCTGTCTTGCCTATGTATCATTTATTAATTTATCTTATGAAAAATAGTGTGTTTGAAAGACAAATCGTAGCAATATGAATACTCGAGATTCATTTATAGTACATTTCTTTAATGTGAATAATACGTTTTGATTGACAATCTTAATTTTTATGACACCGGAATGTGAATATATATTCTAAACAATTCATTGAACATGACCAAGTATTTATTAACTTGAAATACAAGACATGCAAGTTATCCTAATATCTATTTTATAATTTCAGGTCAATACTACGACATATTTGAACCAAATGGAAAATAAGAGATCAGATTTATTTAACGAACTAGTTATTAAAGAATCTGACAATATGGTTTTCTGTAGGCAAGTTAAAATACATGTATTGACCGTAATGATTGTCTATTTTATACATAAAAACTTCGGTTGGTCCTCATAGAACGAGATTTGTTCAACCTATAACAAAAATACCGAACACCAAGGAAAATCAAAACGGAAAGTCCCTTATCAAAAGGCAAAATCAAAAGCTCAAACACATAAACTGAATGGAAAACAAGAGGGATTTTCTTATGTGGAAAATTGTGTAAATGTTAAATGTATAAAATTACTGTTTCAGAATAGTAACGTTTTGTAGTCACTTGAATGACAGTTACATACAATTCCATTATATTGACAACAATGTGTGAACAAAACAAACATACATGATAAATAGGTAAATTTGTCAAAAATAGGGGTACAACAGTTATTCTTAATCACTATAAACACAAACAAATATGTCAACAAAGATAAACAAAATTGCATATAAACAAAGCACATAAGCACAAATGAAAGACGCGAATACAAGAAATGACCATGAAACAGTAACACAATGGGGAGAGATATGCAAGTCAAGAACTGTTGTTAATAAGTCTCAAACAATTATTCAGCTATATTGAGACTTAATAATCATTTTAAGGTTCAAATATTATGCTGGCAAACTTTACATGACTTTGGCCTCAATGATGAATTCACAGTTAAATGAGTGAGTCATGCTAACATTATTTGTAAGACTCTATACATGTAATGTTGCTGTGTTCAAATATTAAAATGACTCCTGACAAAATTTGATATAATTAGACTGTCCATCAGTTTTTACATATAAATCAATGAATATCTTATTAATAAGTAAGGGTTATTTACATTGATTTGTTTTTAAAAAGAACGTCAGTATATTTTTAAACATTTTGCATAGCGTTTACCATTTTCAAACTGTTATGGGCCGAGTATGAAATATTGTTATTTCTTATGTATTTATTTTCTATTACAGAGTCAATATGGAAACAGCTATCACACCAGAGGTATGTATTCTTAACTCACAATGACCGACGAGACCGGTTGAGCTATTTGATATCATTTGGCTTCGGTCTGATATCTATCAAACATTTCGCATGTCAAAGAATCTACTCTCAAACTATTAGGCCTATCCGGCTAACAACGTGGACCGGGACATGCTTACGGAGTCTAATTTCCACGTTTGGTTTATTTCCGACCGGTCCAATCAATCGTTGAACATAAGAAAAATATACCAATTAAATGGAAAAAAACCTTTTAGGCTCTTAGTTTTGAAGTGGGACCTTATACCCTTGTAACAGTTTACTTAACATGAAATGCAGGTAAAACATTTATTAAATGTTTCATCAATTTCCCCTGAAATAATGTCTCAGCTACAGTAAAGTTTATACTTTTCATATTGTTGATTAATATCATTATATTGTCGGAAATGAGTTTTTGTTAATGTGCAGTAGTTCGTTTGGCAAATCTGGCTATATGTGCTCAAACATCATTCAATACTATAAACTTTTATTATAAGGTTAACCCTAAAGGCTACTTTGAGGCCTATGCTACATTGTATGATGAATACCATTTTTAAATCTTAGAGAGCAAATATCTTTAGAGCTATCCAATTGTATCAGTTTTAAAAAGCTTAAGAAACAAAAAAAACTGTGATCTTTTTCATTTCTTTTTTTGGAAATAAACTACACAAAAACGTTCCTATCGTCTTTATAATAATTCAGTTGGATGTTTACTAATTGATATTTTAGTCTGGCAAAATATTTTTTTTTAATTATTTGAACCTGGCTTTGAGCTTGTAACTGCGAGAACAATATGTGGGTATTTCTTCTTTTTGCCAGGATATTTGTTTTGACTCAGCACCCATCTGATTACAGTTTGGTCTAATGGTGTTCCGTTACGCCATTTTCCAAGGTAATAGAGAAAGTTAAGATCTCAAATGTGTAACCCTGTCACAGTCTGTATGCGTTTGTCCCAAGTCAGGCGCATGTATATTAGTAAACAGATATCACACACAGCAACCAATGACAACAACTAAATTTCAGGGGTACAACGGCTATGGCTATATAAATCATACTAATAATAGTTATTTTAATCTAGGAAACACACGAGCAAATTTCTCTGTATGTCGATGATGCATGTGTTTTTTTGTTTTTCTTGGGTTTTTTTTTAATGGCCTTCAAACAAAATAACAATATCCAGATGAAACGATTATTCATACATTTGAATCTTAACCATGACAACTTCGATATAAATCATGACAAATTTCTAGACACTTTACTGAACAATGTAAATCGCTTCACTAAACCATGTCAATTTCGATATTTTGCTTGTCCTGCGATAATTTCTTAAAAACAAGAAGTTCAATTTAGATTGTTTGTTGACACTATAAATTCAATCATCTAATAGATTATATAAAAAAAAATGAGGCAATCGTTCTTGAAACTGACCTAACCAAAATATTACTCACAGTACCAAATCATGACAAAAACTGAAATACACGCTCCTCGATATAACTACTATACTACCCGTGTGTAATTGTCCATTACAGTATTTTTTCATTTTTCTTATTTTGGCATAAATCAGGCCGTTTGTTTTGTTTTTTGAACTGTTTCATATTTTGTCATATCGGGGCCATTTACATGTATTGCTTACTCTATGATATAGGCTTTACTCATTGTCTACGGTGGATAGCTGTCGTATCGGCAATAATACCGCATCTTCTTATTTTTATATGAGCCATTATATACAATAGAAACATTTGCTACATAATACCGAAAAAAATGTATAATAGCAAAAATCAGATTTCCAAGGAAAATTCAACATGTTCAAATCGGAAAGTCCCATTTCCAATGGCAAATCAAAAGTTCAAACACATCAAACGTATGAAACATATTTTTTTTTCCAGAGATGCCATATTTTCTTCATCTCCAAAATATATGTTGATGTATTACGTAAGTAATCTTAATCCATGATATATGATGAATCAAAATAAGTAAACTCACTAAAATGTATTGTTATCTGGCTAACCTATGAATTCAGTTCAAAGCTGAAATGTGTTCAGAAAATATAAAAGTACTGATATTGCACAGAGGCACTGAGCACATTTTCATACGTGTTTTTCCTCATATATAAATATGCTAATAAATTGTATTTTTAGCTTCTTCAGATTCCTGTGGTGAGACCGGAATTACTAAAGTATTGTATTGCTGGAGTACATATCAAAGGCTATTTTCTTAACATACAAAGGTAAAGATAAGTTAAAACAGCAAATACATGTGTCATTTGTGGCACAGATTTTGCAGTGGGGTCAACCAACTCGGGTTGGAGTCCGTACAACTTTCAGTGAGATGACTATAATCTTACCAGTTCAAACCCTTGATTCAGTAGCTTCCTTGTAAGTAACAACCCTCTGTCAATGAAATCATGATAGGAAACGCAATTTCTGCTTAGTGTATCAACTGGGAAATACATATGCTGGAATGTTAGTAAATGGTTATAGAAAGTTCACAATTGGATAGCTGAAATCATACATATGATGACAAATGATATCCATTGATTGTCTTGCCTTTTACGAAAGTAGCAGATTGTGAGATAGCGATGCTGATCCGGCAGTGGCGTCGGCAATTGTCAAGTTCATATCTCGGGTACATATATTATAAGCAATAAATCAACTATATTTACAGTATGGACATGTAGAAGGATTAATATCAACTTGAACATAGGTCAGGGATCTGTTAGGTTTAGCTGATAATTGTAGTAAAATCTTTATATCAAAGATTAAGCAAACAAATCAATCATGATCGGTAAAGCAGGCGATACATTTGACCTTATTTTCACGGTGCAATGACTTCATTAAATCTTAAAGGTTTTTATCATTTGAACTTTTCATTTAATATGAATAATACGTCAAGTATACTTTGCAAATACAAATATCATGACAATGGGAAATTATATGTATAAGACGCATATCAACATACAGTCTCAAATCGACGTCAGTTTCTCAAATTTCGATAAAATCTTACTTCAAAATGAAGTAGATGTCCTTGGAGGAGTTAATACCTTTACATGAGGAGGTTTTCCCTTTCTTGGGGGGTGGGGGTGAGGGTGGTGGGGGACAAAACATATAGAGATATAAAGAAACGGTAAACAGAACAAATAAGCAGCAATACAAGTCAGCAAAAGAGAGATTTTAGTCAAGAATTATATTCTAGTCTACAATGTTGGAGGATATACATTGTTGATACATATAGATTAAAATAGTCGGCACATGCTCTTTATCATGTTAATACCCTCTGGTTTGGTATGTCAGAGACCAACAATTAATTGGTGATTCTTTGTGCATAAGTTGACCATGTCAATTTTCTATTTATCTTTACCATAAATATTATTTTTTTGTCAATCGAAATGTTATAAAGTTTACCTATATGCTAAGAACTCGACAATTTGAAATTACTGAGTTTTTTTTCAGAATACAGAACTAGAGGCTCTTAAGAGCCTGTGACGCTCACCTTGGTCTATGTGCATATTCAACAAAGGACACCCTCCGACATTGTAGACAAGAAAAGAATTCATGACAAAAATCTGTTTTGATGATCTATTATTGCTGATCATTTGGTCTGTTTAGTTTCTCTCTACCTTCTTCAGATAAATAAAATCCTCATTTAAGGGCAATCACTCCTATAAAGAGTCACAGTCTACTTAACTATATCTGCAAAATTTGAATTCTTAGTAGATCTTGACTTGCTGCTCCTTTTTGTGATTTAAAGTGTATCTTTATCTTCTATCATATATAACAAAACGCAAAAAAAAGGCGAAAATCGTCATTAAAGGGCAATAGCTCCAATAAGGAGTCGTCTGACCATTTCATCCATATTGTCCTCATTGTATATTTTTGCTGATCAGTTTTGGCTAGCTAAGTGTCTATCTGTCTATTATAGTTTTAAAATAAAAGGCAAAAAAAAGCAAAAAATTGGTCAAAATCATCATCAAAGGGTCATTACTCTAATAAGGAGTCGATTGACGATTTCGACCACGCTGACCTATTTGTAGAACTTGTCTTGCTGATTATCTTCAAGTTTTTCTGTATCTATTATAGTTTTCAAGATAGAGGGCAAAAATGAACAAATGTTAAATTTGTCATTTAAGGGCAATAAATCATATAAGAAGTCTTCTGACAGTTTTGACATGTATGGACAATTGGTAGAGCTGATCCTTTTTGCTCTTGTCAAATTATCTCTCTTTATAATGGTTTTCAAAATAACAGACAAAACTTGCATTTTACCCTTACGTTTAAGCTATGTAGGCCATCTTGGTTGGCTGGCGAGGTCATCAGGCATATTTGTTTAAACATGTTAAACTAGAAACCCCAATGATGATTGTTGCCAAGTATGACTGAAATCGGCAAAGTAGTTTCAGAGGAGACGATTTTTTTAAAAAAAATGTAAAAAAATTGACTTTTAAGGGCAATTACACCTTAAGGGGCCATTGACAATTTTGTTCATGTTGACTTATTTGTAGATCTTACTTTGCTGAACATTATTGGTGTTAACAGTTTATCTATAATTATATTCAAGATAATACCCAAAAACTGCAAAATTTCTATAAAATTATTTATTCAACCAAATAACGACTTGTCTGTTTCGTCTGAAAATTTCAGGACAGATAGATCTAAACCTGATGAATATTTGAACGTCCATGTCGTATTTGCTCTAAATGCTTTAGTTTCAGAGATAAAAGCCAAAAACTGCATTGTACCCCTATGTTCTATTTTTAGCTATGGCGGCCATGTTGGTTGGTAGGCGGGGTCGTCGGACACATTTTTATTCAACTGAATATCCCAATTATGATTGTGGCCAAGGTTGGTTAAATTTGACCCAGTCGTTTCAGAGGAGAAAATTTATGTAAAAGTTGACGACGACGGACGACGACAACGACGACGGACGCCAAGTGATGAGAAAAGTTCTCTTGGCCCTCTGGGCTTAGTGAGCTAAAAAAGAAGAAAGTAACATTCTTCAAATTCTTTATTTTCACTTATTTTTAATATCATTGGTATTATTATTTCTAATATGATTGGTATTATTATTTTTATTATTTGTATTAAACATATTTCATCTTAATTGGTCAAGTTGAGGTAAATATCTGAATGAAAATGGAAGGCGATCCTGCTAAATATTGTAATAAAGATTTACTTTACCGAGTTCATCAATAACAAAGGATCTGTTTCTGATAATCTGTAGTGTGTCAATGGTTAAATTATGTATATTTGTGTACAAAAAGGTATGACTCTGACTTCCAACCAGCTGATGATGAAAATGGGTTTAGATTTTCGAAAACTGCTTTTCCAGTAGATGACGAGATTGATATGAACGTAAGTTAGTATATACTGAAATAAAAAAGATAAGATTTAAAGCAAAATTAAACGGGTAGACATGATCTTTTCAATGACGTCTCCCAATTTAGAAATTTGACATATTTGCAGATGTAACCAGTTTGACACATATTATATGTCCCAGGCAAAACAAATTGGATTCCTCAGATATATTACAGCTTTGTCTTAAACCAAATAGTTCACGTAAGAAACACAAAATACCGGGTGAGAAGGGGGGGGGGGGGCTATTGAAAATACACATGAGACCGGTGCTTTATTGCAAACTGAAATCACTGTAGCCATATAAATTAGTTACCAGTTACCGGTACAATATGAATGTCACATTATATGTATACATGACTTTTAATTCTATAAATTAACGTAGTTATAGATCTAGGAAAATATACATTAGTTAACAAATGCTTACTGTAATAAATTGTTTTGTTAGATTGCGATGTTGTGAACTTAGTTAGTATCTTTAATCATTTAATATTCTGTTAGGAAGTCCCGACTGTATTCTCGCATCATGTTGTCAGCCATATAGGTATAATAAATGGTAAAGGTTTTTTTTTCCTTTTGCATGTTTTGTGTTGGATCACAACTCATCTTATATTTGAAATTTTATTTATTTTTAACATTTTAACAGTTAATATTTCTTTTTCTTTTATTTGTATATAAAAAGTCAAAACGGGGTTTAAACCAATCTGATAAAAAAGGTTTTAGTGTTAGTAAGTAACCTTGCCAATTTGTAAAAGTGGAGGGTTTAGGTTTGTTGATTTTTTATTCACGAAAATTTTGTCGGATTATTCATTTCTTCTTTAGTTCTGTATTAATTGCGAATAATGCTATATTTAACTCCCTAACAAATGGTAAAGAACCTGCAATTTAATATGACAAATGTTGTGTGATTGATAATTATCGTGTAGGTTCAAAGATATTATCAGATCAGTATAATGATGAAACTATGAGTATAGTCACGTTTTCCAGACATAAGATCACTTTGTTCTAAATTTGACATTTAGGTTACTTAATTTAGTTTTCCTCTTATGTTAATTTCTCAGAAACTGAGTGGCCTATATTCATATCACTAGATGCAAGGATGTATGAAGCAGTCATAAATACATGCTTATCACTGTAGGTCTACACTTGACCATTCAGTAACTTCTAGTATTAGTCAAAGAAATAAGGAGATGATGTTTAATTGACATGCTACAATTATAGATGTAAACATGTACAGGTCACACGATTGGTTTACACGATATTGGCAGTTGGTGTGCGACTTATAAGACATTTGGCTTGCAATTGGTAGCAAATGTTTACTCGAGCACAAATATATCGCCTACCTCCGACAATGGTTTAAATTGCAACGCAGTAGTCATTTCCTAAATATTTAAAAGTGGCAAAGATTTATATATCATTGTATGCCGATTCATTTAGAGAAAATGAATAACAAAAAAAATAACGATTGCGAGACAACAGTGGTCTACACCAATTGCTTTAGCGGCATTGGTTTGATTTTATATTAGTATTCAGATACTACGTAACGTACAATCGTATGACTTTGTATGTGTATATTGAGATGCATTTAGGAAGTTTAAGAGTCCTCACTAGTAACATAGACTTGGGTTAACGATATAGTGTAAATCTCAGATGCTACGAGTATATATTTATATCTAGTTACATGCATATGAGGTGTTTAAAGGATCCTTCGGGTGAGTAGAATAGCTGCAAGCAAATATGTGTTTCGCTTGATTTTATTAACATCCAAAGTGTTAGACAATTTGCATTAGTTTTATGTCAGATATATATAAATATACCCATCTGGAACTTACAACATCGTAGGATTTTGTTTGGGTTTGTGCTGCTTAGTCTTTAGTTTACTATGTAGTGTTTATGTGAACTGCTTAGTCTTATCTTCGTCGTTCTTTTTTTCTTTTCGTAATGTTAAATGTTCTCGGAACCGGGCTAACAGGAGACTTTAAGTACAAATACAGCAAGAAATTATATTTGTACAATAGTTGGCTGATTGCAAGAGAAAAACTTCTATTGATATTTTCTGAAATAGATTTTAGCAGACTACGGATTTTAAATCAAGTTTGTTTTGAACTATGAAATTATATAATTATATTTTCACGATCTACATGATCTACTAGATAATATAGGTCCACATATATTTTTCCCTTTGACGCAAATACTATTAAGGAGTACTGATCGGAATGTAATAAGATGGAGAAAAGGTTTCAGACTGGTAGTTTATGTACAGCATAGAATAGATATTGTCTCTTTGTTTTACAACGTCCTTGAAATGCTGATCAAAAAATTAGTTTACTTTTTTACAGCAATTGGTGTTTGTATATAATACCACTGAAATATCTAATAATCACAAAAGTTATGAATCAACACTTATAAATTATGAATATAACTATGCAACAGTACTTTCTGCTTTGAAATGAAAACGGTAAAAATAGGTTTTCAGTCATTGCAAGAATGTACCGCAGTTATGCCCTTAAATTGTAACAGTAATGACCTTCATTTACTTTAAGGGACCATTATCTTTAGGTTTTGTGTACAGATTAGGTTGTAGGTTAAGGAAATGCTTTGGTAATCGGTTAGTTATAGCCTGGGTTAGTTGATCGTTACGGGGTTTTTTAGTATTCAGTATTGGTTAGGTCCGTTAAGTTAAATAATAGCCAAATTATTGACTTCACTATTCCAGTGCAAGGTTGTCCCGAGCTTTTGGTTTATCATTTTTAACGTAGGATATTGCTATTATAATTATATGGTCGAGAATGATATACACGTCATGTTTATTTTTACTTTAATGTCAGTTATCTCTACTAGGAGCTTTTTTGGCTTTGGACATTTTGTTTATCGTTTGCTTTTTTTTTTACAGCTTTACGGATATTTTTAGGTTTGGAATACAGTTAAAAGCACATATCGGACTTTGTTATCGAGGGTGAACTGTGTTTATAAAATGCATGTACTAGCTATCTTAACATGTGAACAAATCTTTTGTCTGTGATATAACAAATATTTAATAAAAATGTAGTAACTTTTTCATAATGTTTACTTATCATCGTTTCAGGTTCCCTTATTGCAGGTAACTAGATCAAAACATTTCCGTCAAGGCACACATGGAATGCTTCCCGTTCTCCAGTACTCCGCTGAGGGGAAAATTATTGTTAAATCGGTAACTGAAAATTTCATCAATTGCTTTATGAATGATTATTTAAATCAATAACATTACTTCGCTCTTCGAAAATTACATGTTTAATGGTACCAGTCCAATCGAGCGTACTTACAGAAAGTTTTTTTTATTGTTATCAATCCAATCAGTATGAAATGCGTATAAGACGTGAAATGACGCCATAATGGAATTTAGTTTTTTCTCATTTGGCTTGAATTGACAGGATTCCTGTTTGCATATGGTTTGTCAAATGATAATGCAAGTTTGTTCTTATTTGATATTGCATTTTTACACTTTGTCAGGTTCTATGAATACAAGTTTAATCTGTCTGGACATTGCTGTTAAAGAGTAACGCGACTTTTTCTCACAAAAACATCATAATTTACTTTTTTACTGAAAATACTTTCAGAACTTTTACACCTTGACACTTCTAATTTTTGGTACTACAAGTTCTCAACTTCGTTCTTTCCTAAATTTTTTGCTTTTCTAATTCAAACTTGTGTAGACGAACCTCAAGTATGGCGTACACAATTTTAATCCTGGTATCTATGATGAGTACATGAAATTTATTTGAAAAAAAGCTTCTGTGATATTACAAATTTGGATCTTTTCTATTGCAGAGTTTTCAACTTTTTTTTTAATGTTACTTTATTCAGATTGTAAAACATCAGCATAATTCAATGAAAGAAGTAATAGGATTGGTTCATATACAGAACACAGGAATATCACCTGCTGTGTACTTAATCATAGAGACAGATGATAGGTATGGTATCTACATGGAAATGGTATCCCCTGGTAAGTAAGATGCATATTTTAAGAACAAAAAAGATATATCAAAAAAAATTTTAAAAATCTGTCAATAGTATGTCATAAATTTTCTCTTGAGAGTTTGCATAAGATTGTTTGTTGGCTTGAATAATCTATGAAAAGATAGTGAATATGTGCAAATAAAACAAGCATACACGAATTTATCTCTTTTGTATTAGCGAAAATACACTTTTTAAAGTGAACATTCATTGTAACTTGACCAAATTTGACATTAAAATAAGTTACAGTTTGCAAGAATAATAAATATCCCAATCTCATTTCAATATTTCGACTCTGAACTCATCTGTGTTTTCTTTTTAAATGTTTGGAAAAAATTTTGTCAATTAATTTGAAACGTTCTCTTTTTCAGGGGTAACCCTTGAAGATGTTATAAAATTCATACCGGATATAAATCCCCAAATAAGTATTAAGTTTGTGCATTATATTTTGCACCAGCTTGTCAAATATATCAACGTGATATGGGATAAACGTTGGAGTCATAAAGATTTACATGGTGGGTATATTTCATATAGGACGAAATGTGTTTATTGTTGGTGCACATGCACATGTAAACATCGATGAAATGTTCCCTTTGTGTTCTAGTGTCATCATTCCTAGGACTGCCATACTCAAATGCATATAATGACAGTTTTTAAGGCAATCAATTAAAAATCTGGAGATCAAAATTATCTCTCTTCTATAATTCTCATTTTTTTCCATTTTTGATTTTTGATTACAACTGTTAAAGTTCAGAAAAAAACGTTCGTTATAATAAATGTCAAAATGAAAATGAAAATGAAAATGTGGTTAGAAAATAGCATTGTAATTTCATTAAAAACACAATTAAGATAAAATGCTTATAAAAACATATGACACTTTTATCGTGTGCCTTGTAAGTGCTTCTGTGTTCAGGGATAATTTTTTTGTAAGAAAAATAGCTTTCATCTTTTAATGCTAGCTACAGAAAATAAGGAGCACTTTAAAATTAATTTTTGGAAATAAGTTTTTGTTAATCATGTTGATACTATCTGATGACAATATATCCAGAAAAGCTCACAATATATTCTGTTTTATTTAAAACACATTTGGACACAACAGATTTAAAAAGTATTATTCATGCTTTCAATGATATGAAAGTTTAAAAATTATGAGTCTTTATTAATGTAAGTGAAGTAATCATATGCAGCTTAAATATTCAATACATAATAAAATTGCAGATATTCACAATTTTGATGTTAGTCAATTTTAATTGTAGCAGGGAATATCTTAATAGCAGAAAGTAACCAATGTGTTGATATAAGGATCACCGACTTCGGTAATGCGACCGAAATAGATGAAAGTACATATGAATATATCAGTAGAGATGTTATTGGTATATATGATATACTATCGATGGTAAGCCTTAATATCATATAAAAGACGGTCAACAAACTAGGGTGAATATTTATTTATTATTTTGACTTTTTGATAACTAACTACATGTATAAAAACTTGAGAAGAAACAAAATAGGAATTTGCTCGGAGGTATTTCTAAATATTATACCTCCAAATGAGAGAGAGGAAAACTAAGTAGACAATGTAAAATTGCCTTTCACTAAAACCATGTTGGTTTATTTGATACAGTTTGACGCTTATGAACTGATATTTTTATATGCTGTTTTAATTTTTGCCTACTAAAAAAAGTATCGTTAAAAAAATGTACAGGTACCGGTAAATTTCAAAGTCGATCGTCTTCCATTGCCACAAAGGCCACATATTCATTTGTCGTTGTCAGTGATTAATTTGCAGATAATTAAATTTTGACTTCATTTTACCTAATGTTCTCTTACAAAAAGATGTTTGCCAAATTAAAATATAATCAAACAGAAAGTATTCGGCAACTTGCTCGATCTAACAAATTTACAGTAAAAGTGATGATTTTCTAAAAATTGTTTGGCATTTCACAGTGATATCATACTTTAACTTTGTTTAAATCTGTTTATTTACTTTTGACTTTAATTATTTATCCCTTGTAATATTTTATTAACTGTGTATTTGCATTCAGGTGTCACAGGTCAAATTTATTCGTTCATTGTGTGTTAATTTAAGTTTTTTTATTGAGTTCAGCCTTCCAATTGATAATTTATAGTGTGTTTTTCTATGTTGTGATGTTATACTATTGTTTCAGAAAAGGGAGAAGGTTTGGTACCATTAAAACGTTTAATCCCGCTGCAAATGTTTGCACCTATCCTAAGTCAGGAATCTGATTACAGTAGTTGTCGTCTGTTTATGTAATTCATACGTGTTTCTCGTTTCTCGTTTTTATATAGATTAGACCGTTGGTTTTTCCGTTTGAATGGTTTTACACTAGTAATTTTTTAGGGCCCTTTTATAGCTTGCTGTTCGGTGTGAGCCAATGCTCCGTGTTGAAGGCCGTTCCTTGACCTATAATGGTTTACTTTTATAAATTGTAACTTGGATGGAGAGTTGTCTCATTGGCACTCATACCACATCTTCCTATATCTATACAATATAAAATTACAAATGACGTTTTTTTCAAGAAACTGCGCTATAGGTCTTAATACGTAATTCAACATGTGATAATAAAAATCAAAATGTGTTTATAGGCGCTGTAAACACCGAATAGTCTTAGTATAACTCAAATTGAATAAAAGAGAATATCCCAATACATACTACGTCAATATGTCAAAATCGAAAATAGGAGACAATTGGTAAAATTACACACCAGAAGATTTTACTTGTACATAGGGATAAGAATGTAAAAACTGTTAGTGAATTGAGACACTAACACATTGTATCGGTCACACTATGCGTATTGGTAATAATCTAGTTTTGTTTTGTAAAATGAACTTCAATAAGAGAATGTGGGCACCTCATTCATTAAATCTCCCCTTAAAATTATGATTAAGGTACGATTTTAATTTTTGATCCGTGAATATGGAAGGATCGTCTGTTTGTTTCGGTCTTCTCTTTTCGAAAATGCATTACTGTTAAGTACCTGTCTTTGTAAGAATCATGCAAGTTCCTGTTGATGGGCGATTCATGACCCCTCTTCAAATGTCTTTATATTTTGTTTATGAAGAAGATATGGTATTAAAATAAGTTTCATATATTTTTTTTTTTTTTTGAGCCTTGGTTGCCATGGAAACCATCCTTACAAAATTTTGCCAAAATACGTACAAAAGTAGCCTTTGAAAATTGAAATATAAGGGATTTTAAAGAACCATTGACATAAAGTTAATCAATACAAACAATAAGTATATTTACAGTATTGACAAACAAAACCCCAAACTATACTAAAACGTTAAAATTTTGAAATTACTTCATAGTTTGTTTCCATAGCAACCATTTAAAAATGTGTTAAAATTCGAAAATGAAAAATGTCAAAAACTCCTAAATTTTAAATCTGTTTATCTCCCAAGACCAACAATACAATTACATGTCAGTGACAAATTTTGTAAGGCAACATTCTATATATTCATAAAATAAAAAGAAAGTCGTGTGTTTTTTTTTCTTTAAAGAAATAATTTTAGTAAAAAATGGTCAATTTTCACCAAAATTCAGATTACCAAACAGATGAATAATCAAACATTTGAACTTAAAAAAGCTAAAATATTCCATTTGTATGTGCAATTCTGACACATATTTGTTAATTTTAAACTAGAATATATGATTAATGAAGATATACTTGTACAAAACGAAAACTCATTACTCTGGGTATAATGCACACCCCCCCCCCCCCCTTTTTTTTGGAAAAAAAATCTTTTTTTTTCAAAATTATAAAATTAGTTGATTAAATGTGGAATCTTATTGTGTTTACTTGTGAACTAAGCATTTTAAGAATTTAAGCATAACATTACTTCTATAGTGATATGTAAGATTTATCAGAAGTTTGAAAAAAATGGTAATACGCATAACCCGTTGTCGTGCCTGGGATTGATGCTGTTAGTGAAAAAGAATAATATTGAACTCCAAAAACATTTAAGCCTATGTATATAAATAAGAGGATGGATGTGTTGTAATTGCCAATGAGAAAACTCTCCACAAGAGACCAAATGACATAGAAATGAACAACCACAGGTCATCGTACAGCCTTCAACAATGAGCATAACATGATTGTCTGTAAAACAAATCTTAATGACCAATTTAAATAAAAGATTGCCCTAGACTAAGATCTGCTAAACAAGAATGAACACCCTGAAATGTCTGGTTGGTTTTATTTATCAATGAATTACTTTTGAAACTCTGTTATATAAAGATTTTAATACAAGTATCATATTAACTTAACATTATCAATGTTCTAAGAAAATGAGGTCAGGGTAAGATGAACTATGTCTGACAGACGAAAGAGAGAGAACGGAAACAAAAAATTCAGCAATTTTTCCATTTTTAAAGGGGCATAACTCATTAACAGTACAAGTGACACCAATAAAATTCAGACTAGATCTGTATTTTATGGTAATAAGCATTGTGTATAAGTTTCAAAACATTTGGTTGTGGCTAACTTAAGTTAGAGAACGGAAACAAAAACGTCAGCAATTTTTCCATTTGTAAAGGTGTATAACTCTAGAACGGACGTACTTACGAACAAGGGTACAACTTAATGCCCCCTTCGCTACGGTGGGGGCATACACATTCTACGTGTTCTATCTGAGGTAATATATACAAACGATCTATCTTAAACTGTGCAAGACTTTGTCAATGTTTGTTTGGTATATAATGGAAAAGGACAGCTTGTCTATCATTTTTTTTTTTTAAATAACCTAACTGAATTATTATTTGTATAAGGCAGAGTTATCGCATCTTTATAGTTCTCAAAACATATTCTCCTTGTGGGCCTTGAGGAAAATTTGCTGGTCCTAACTAGTATATACTATTTTGATTCTCAAAACCTTAGGACCACCATGTGCAAAGATCATTCATGGAATTTTGCTCAATTTTATCAATTGTTATATTTACACATTTGTGTGTCCATGCCGTGGCGGAGGGGGCATTAAGGTTTACCATTGTACGTCCCAAAGTTGGTTTCTGTTCTCTAACTTTAGTTTGCCTCAACCAAATGTTATGAAACTTAATCACATTGCTTATTACCACAAAACACAGACCAAGTTTGAATTTTGGTGGTGTCACTTTAACCGTTCTAGAGTTATGCCCTTTTACAAATAGAAGTATTGCTGTTATTTTCGTTTCCGTTCTCTAACTTTAGTTTGTCTTTACCAAATGTTATTTAAATTATACACAATGCTTAAAACCACCAAATACAGATCAAGTTTGAATTTTGGTGGTGTCACTTTTACTGTTCTAGAGCCATGCCTCTTTACAAAGGGAAAAAATTGCTGAATTTTTCGTTTCTTTTTTCTTTCTTTAGTTTGCCTCAACCAAATGTTATGAAACTTTTACACAATACTTTTGACCACAAAACTTACATAAAGTACACATTTGGTTAGTGTCACTTTTACCGTTCTTCAGTTATGTCCATTTATAACTTTTATGATATGCAAGCGGGAGCATCATCTGTGTCCAATGGACACATTCCGCATTTATTTCAAGCTCTTTTGCATAAGTTAGATTCATTATATATTAGAATAAAAAGAACGGTTCTTCTTCAATTTCAATTTTGACACAGTTAAATCGACATAGTGACAAATAAGTGTTTGCATAAAGGTTTCGATACATGTCGAATTACATGGGCGGTAAATAGTAACAGCCATTATGGGTACATAATCTGACTCTGCGCAATAGAATACTAGTCAACAAAAGAAACGATACAAGGCAATGTATTAAAATTTCCATATATAATGAAATTGGAACACTGTACCAAACTTAATAACTGTCCCATTGGTCTAATTTTTACAGAGTGTTATTTTCTTATCAAAACCACTGATTTAAGACAAAAGACCAATTTTTTATTTTTTTATTTTTGTTATTTTAAAAATAGTCTTTTTTGCCAAAAAAATAATAATCAATATTAGAACTTAAAATTCTAAACTTAAACATGCATGGTCTGCTTAAAATTTTGATTGCCGTCCGTCCTTGTGTCCATCTGACTGTTCGTGTGTCTGTCTGTCTGTCTGTCCGGTCCTTGTAGCGCTCTCACATGTACAAATATTGTCAGATTTTTACGAAACTAATACTTTAGGTTAATATAAGCAACATCTCAAACAAGTTATATATTGGTGGCCAATCGACTTTTTTTAAGAGTAATTACCCTTAAAAATATTAAATTTATGGAAAGTGGCCTCGTTAGCGCTCTCGAGGGTACAAGTTGTTTATTTTTCATTTTCAGTATATTTCTGATAGAACGGACGTAGATTTTTGGTTGACCGTTCCATCACTTGGCGTTCATCGTCGTCCTGCCGGTGTTAACTAATTCAAACATCTCCACTGAATCCACTGAACCAATTCCAGCCAAACTTAAGCTGAATGATTCTTCGGATATCTAGAATAAAGTTTGTGTTTTATTTTCTATTTTGTCAAAAAAACATGGCCGCCATGGAACAAATTAGAACATAGGGGTAAAATGCAGTTTTTGGCTTATATCTCAAACACTAAAGCATTTAGAGCAAATCTGATGTAGGTAAACATGTTCATTAGGTCAAGTTCTATCAGCCCGAACATTTTTAGATCAATCTAACAACCCATTGAAATTTTGCAGTTTTTTGTTATTATCTTGAATATTATTAATGACAAAGATAAACTGTAAACAGCAAAAAAGTTCAGCAAAGTAAGGTCTTCAAATAAGGTTAATGACCAAAATTGTCAAATGACCCCTTAAGGAGTTATTGCCCTTTAAAGAATTTTTTCACAATTTGTTCATGTAGTTTGCTTACTTTAAAAAATCTTCTCCTGAAACTGCTGAATCAATTTCAGCCAAACTTGGGAGTATTTAGTATAAATTTTGAATTTTATTTCCTTGTAATTCAAGAAACATAGCCACTATGGCTAAAATGGAACATAGGGGTAAAATGCATTTTTTTTTGCTTTTGAAGACAATATGACAGATACAAAGAACATTAAAATGGAATTTTAAGCCACTCATTGATATATGTTGAAAAGCATATATAATCATTGATGAGAGATTTAACCAAAAAATTACAGGTGATCGATTCAGGCTCTTGAGAGCCTCTTGTTTAGAGTGAAAATTTAAAGACAGTCTGAGACTAAGTTTTTTTGACATAGACTGAAATAAAACTTGGACAGAGGCTAATTTTCAAGACCATGAAATAGCATCTAAAAATTTCAATTTGCACAAAACAAGTGTATTTCATGTATTTAGGGACGCAGCAATCCTTCATTCAGTCATCAGCCTTTCGGCTGTTTTCTGTTGTTTGGTTGGATTGTTGTCTCTTTGACACATTCCCCATTTCTGAAAAAAATCTAATATATAAAAATGGGTAAGGAGGTACTATCATTGCCCTAACCATTTGAAGAAATTTCATGCTTCAATGCTCAAAATGTTCAGAATTTAATACCATCTTTCTTTTAATTTTTGAAATATTTTATAATTTTGAAAAAAAATGATTTTTTTTCAAAGAAATGGGGGGGGGGGGGGGGGGGGGGCACCATGCCCAGAGAGAAAAGTTTCATTCTCTACATACATATCTCTATCAATAGTATATTCTCGTTTATGATTACTAAATTTGTGTCAGAAATGCACATATAAATGGAATGATTTAGCTTTTTAAGTTCAAAATGTTTGATTATTCATCTGTTTGGCAATCTGAATTTTGGTGAAAATTAACAATTTTTGACTAAAATCATTTTTTTTAAGAAAAAAAACACACAACTTTCTTTTTATTTTATGAATATATAGAATGTTGTCTTTCAAAATTTGTCAATGAAATGTCATGGTATTGTTGGTCAAACAGATTTAAAATTTAGGAGTTTTTGAAATTTTTCATTTTCGAATTTTAACACATTTTTAAATGGTTGCTAAGGAAACAAACTATTTGGTAAATTCAAAATTTTAACGTTTTTTGAATAGTTTGGGGTTTTGTTTATAAACAATGTAAAAACCCTAATTGTTTTTATTGATTAACTTAATTTCCATGGGACTTTAAATTCCCTTATTTTAAATTTTCAAAAGGGTCTTTTTTCACATATTCAGGCAAAATGTTGTTTTGATGGTTACCATGGCAAAGGGCAATATACAGGGAAAATAAAGACAGAATTTTACTTATCTACCACAGTTCTTATGATATAGGGCCAAAAATATTACTTCTGTGACATGTCATGAATCACCCTCTGTGTGATTTTTACAAAGACAGGTACTTAACAGTTTATTCTCGCCCTTTTAACTGTAAAACTTCATAACAGAGAAAAAAATTGCCACGAATATTTCATCTGAACTCGAGTCATAGGATTATGGCCGTTTATAAGAAACTACAACCCGGAAATCGCAAATTTCATCCAACGCGAATTTGAATCAGTAGGCAAAAAAAAGAGCGCGCGAAAATACTTGCAGGTTTACGATATATAATTTATTAGTGCTTTATTGTATTTTGGAAACATTGACCTCGCAGCCATTAAACCAACAGTTGTTAGTATAATATTGACATCCAAATGTACAGAGTTTCAATAATTAAGTAGAATAAATATGTGTCTTTAATGATAAAAACACCTGTTATAGGACGCAAAAATGGATTCGAAATAACGGGTTTTTTTTCTGAAATCCATTATGTATATGTGCAATTCTAATTTTTATTCAATAGTTACTTTTTTCTTAATGAAATTAATTGTTGAATGGCAAAAATCAATTCTAGCAACGTAAAGACTTTTATGTTATTTGTAGTGATGTTGATAGAATTGAAACACGTATTAATTGTATTGTTCTTTTGTAGCTGTTAAAAGAACACCCCGAAATTGATTTCGGACTTAAAGAATATGAAAAAAAGAGAGTAGAGTTTTTGTCTAAGCAGAAAGTTATGGAACTTATGAGAACAGTTACTTATTTGGCAGAGGAATTTGGTAATTTTTATGTTTTTGTCTTGCAAGCGAAGAAAATACCAGAAGCCAAGCTGTTAATTTATTGAAAAAATATAATAACAAAAATACCGAATTCTAAGGTGAATTCGTAAAAAGCGAGGTCCATCAAAAATGATGCAACTAAATCGTCGCCTATATCTCAACCAACGAAACGACCGGAAAACAAAGAAAATTGTTGTTTAAACCAAGATGGCTACATTTAAATCCTTCACATGTATGACTACTTGGAGTTGTTTAACACCTTGACTACCCAGGGGTTCTCTCGCGGTCGGTTATTGATTTGATTCGTCATAGACCTAAGTTAAGTCTCAAAATTAACTGAATGTTTTCCATTATCTTTTAAGCAATAACGCATCTCCAATTTAAACATGTGTGTCTGTGCTTTCATGATGCAATCGAGTCTGTTATATGTACAATACTTTCCTGATTATCATTGGGCATTTGAGACATATCAGCATAGCCTTCTTGTTTTCATATACCAATATCGCTCATTACATATGGTACAATACTGCTTCTTATCAAATAAAATTGTAATAATACAGAAACGATTAAAACTTAATTATATATCCAATTGTTTTCGCTACCATACATTTGTTCCTACTAACGGTCATAACGTTGATCTTAATACCATCTGATAAGTCTGAACCTAAACATTAATTGGTAGATTGTTTATAGATACATTCTTTTTTTGTAAATTTAGTTTTGTTCAGACATTTGACTTGCAACCAATCAAGTGCTGTTCATTAGTTTTTCTGACAATTTATTATGTTGTTGTTTTGTGAGCTAAATACCAGCTAATGAAAAATCCAAACGTAGACTGAAAAGACTTTAATTTTCTGCAAGAAATGTGACTTAAAGACGGAACAAATCCTTAATATAACAAAAAATAATCTTTTAATTTCATATTTTGTTTACAAGTGATTATATTCTTTAAAGCGTGATTAAACAAACGGATTAAAAGGAAACTTTGTGCAATAGTCGAGACTTACAGTTTTACAAAAAGTATACTTTTCAAACAACTATTACTTTTTCAAGTGCTAATTCTAAACACAATGTTTTTTTTAGTGAAAAGTCATGCTGCAAATAAGGACATACTTCAGTTGATATCTAAATGTAAAGCGGATTATGTACACCATAGAAATAATCAGACAAGAACAGGTATGCATTTTTAAAAGAAAAAAAAACATTTGCAGAAAGTAAATTTTAAAGAAAACTAATTGAAATGGGGGGACGATACAAAAGGGCGATTAAATCAGAACGTCATATGAAAACACCAAGGCAATAAAATACGATGCTAGGACAGTTACAAATCTTCGCAGAGAACTAAAGAGTGGGTACATGAACACCAACCAGAAACTAGAAGTACACAAAGGTAAACTGGATTCTTGCTCCACTTAATCTAGTGTTACTCGTATGTCTATTTTTTTTTTATTGTATTCATACATTGTAATAGACAAACAAAGGATATGGGGTATCTATTCATGACACAAAATCAGTATAGCACATCAAAATAAAAACACGCATAAATAGCAAAGAAACAGCGCCAACTTCATCTCCAGGTGTTCTTCATCTCAAAGTCACAGTGAGGCCTTCAACAGGGAGCAATGAACTCTCACCTGACGGCAAGGTTGACACGGCCTCTAGCACCGGCTTGAGCGAAATTCTTTGCAAAAATAATGAGCGGAATGCTATACAAATAATTTGGTTAGACTTTGTAAGATATAATACCAAGCATTCGGGCCCGGTCAAAAAAGAACATGCAGGAAAGTAGTATATATTATAAACAAAATAGTTCAATGTTCATATCTGTATTTTTCCATTACAATGAACGTTCCTAGATACTTATTTGATCTGTCATTTTATCATGCTTCTAGTTAAGATTTTATTACCATCATCTGTACAATAGGGTGCATTATAAAAATAATAAAGAGATACATACTAGTGCGTTAAACCTATACATGATATTTATTTAGCAAATTTGTTAACAAAATAAATGATTTAACTGCTTTTAACTATGCATTAGTTGTACATTTATGTTCTATCAATCTATTGTAAAAAATTTGTTTTGTCTTCTTTTATATCACCATACTATTTCTTATAAAACGGCCTACCTTTTTATACACTCTTTTTTTTCACTGATTGGAGTAAATAACGACAACATATACACATAATTTAGTAAAGCAGATTACATTACATATAAAACTCGCTGACAGATCAAATTGTCAGACGGTGTTCAAGATATCCCAGACAACCTGAATAGTCTAAACTATTAAAATATATATTTAGAACTTAATATTTCAGAAGGTAACGGACGACCAAGATATGTATAGAGTTTAAATTTGTCTTATGTTACGAAGTGTTAGTTTGGTTAAGATCCACTGGATTCATGGTTCCACGACTGCTTGAAAAACGTTTATAGCTTTTCTTTATCACGTGTTTTTTTTTCATTTTCAATGAGTAACAGGGCGACATTATTTGCTTTAATCGTTAATTTCAAGGTTTACGTGTCCATCATGCAAATTTCACTTGACCTTGTATTTATAGATCAGTAATCAAGGTTTAGTTTTCACAAAAAAGAAAATAAAATAAAGTAAAGCAGGTGCAATAAATAGATCAGGGTGTTTTCTTGTTATTTTTTATTTCTGTATAAATTGTTGGAGTTCGCAAATCAAATCTTTATAAGGCCAAAAAAAGCAAGAGCATTGAGTACCAAAAATAACGAAATATTTTTTTTTCTTCAAAATACAGCTTAGATATTCTATTCCCTGGATACAAAATCTCAAAGGTATTAGTTGATGAGCGTGACAATTCAAAATCGAAACCTAATCAATATCAAATTCAGAATAGTTCGACACTTTGATATACCCCCTCTAATTTAATTCAGTATAGGTGTCTGTGTAAAACGACTTTTCGAAATGTGTATTATTTACAAGATATGACACAAGTTGGAGATTATCTACTGTTTTCTATTTTCAGGAGAAGATGAAAACTCCAATGTCAGAAGGTGTTTGAGCTTTATCTGTGGTATGGATTGTGTTAATTTGTAAAGACCGTTTTGTTAGCGAAAGGATAAAAACCATTGTACCGGAAATGCAGACATTTTATTTTATATGATGGCAATGGGGACACGAATGGTCGATTTATTTACATTAATGAAAACCCGTTATAGGGTATGCGATTGTAGCTACGAGAAACAATGTAAACAATAATTACAAGCACCTACGTCACTTGTTCATCGTTGGACGGATGTATAATTGTTTATTATTTCATATTTAAAAAGTTTAACTATATTACATATTAATAAATTAAAGTAATTTTCGAATTTTCATAATTTGTTGAATTTCTTACAGTACTAATTTTCACCGAAATTTTGTACTAAATACAATTAACAGGTACTTGAACGATTATACAACATTATCATTTTTGTCGAGCCTTCGACTTTTGTCGAAAAAACGAGACATAGCAATCCTACATTCCGTCGTCGTCGGCGGCGGCGGCGGCGTCGTCCACAAATATTCACTCTGTGGTTAAAGTTTTTGAAATTTTAATAACTTTCTTAAACTATCCTGGATTTCTACCAAACTTGGACAGAAGCTTGTTTATGATCATAAGATAGTATCCAGAAGTAAATTTTAAAAAAAATCTTGTTGTCCGTATGCTACTTATAAATGGACTTAGTTTTCTGTATTTCAAAGTATTGTTTGTTGGGTAATGTCTAGACCGAGAAGCATCCATGGTGTATACCATTCTTATTTTCAATTGAAAGATTTGCAAATTTGCGTATTGGACCTTTCATTGTCATGCGCCCTGTAAAGTACTATTTGCTCATTATCACATATGTTTTTTTGAGTTTGTTTATTTCGCTAACTTTACGATCCAACTCTTGTACTTGTTTGGACAGTAGACGATTTCAATTGTATTCATCTTTGGTTTCTAGTGCATTGATAAGATCTCACATAAGAACGGGGCATTGTCCGATCTCTGCAGCCAAACAAGGAAACAGGATTTTATTTCTGTATTATCAACATGAATCATTTGGACCCTAAACATCTTCTGTATAGGTCTGTTACCATGTTCTTCTCTTATGTATTTTATGTATTGTAGTCTCTTTTTGCGAGTCGTTGCCTGCTAGATCCCGGTTATTGTCATGTTAATCAATTATGTCTGTTCGGATAGCCCACCAATTTTGTTAACATAACGGCCTGATTATATACAAAACAATAAACGAGAAACAAATATAATATTTAACTTTCAACTATTAGACGTGTTAGAAAAGTCGATACTGCTGTTGACGCTCGTGTTGGACGGAAGATGAATACAATATGATGTGGGGGTCATCTCCAAAAGTATAAATACTCTATCGATTTTTGTTACCTGTTTGACCACTGAAATATTTTATTTATAGTATGCAAGACAAAATCAATCAATCATTTAAAAAGACACAAAATTAATCATTAAATGTGAATTTTGAAATAAATTAAGTGGGATATTGAAGATAATTATAACCATACATGTAATTGTAATTATTTGATTAAAGAATCCAAATATGAAAAAAAAAAATAAGGCGAATCTTTTCCTTTTGTGAAAAACGGAGTGGGCATGTTTTTTTTTGTGTCAGAATCAACAAAATCGAGTCTAGAGTGCTAGCAAGGATATCAAATAAATTACAAGTCTAACAGTGACCGTGATCTTTGACCTCGAAAATTTATAGTAATGTTATTTATAAGGACTAAGTATGTACCAAGTGTGGTCAAAATCCTGGAACGATGTTGAATATAGAGTGTTAACAAGGTTGTTACGGACAGAAAGTCGTCGGAAGGACCGACAGACGGTACCGTTACAAGATCCCCTCCATTTTTGTTAGCGAAAGGATAAAAACCATTGTACCGGAAATGCAGACATTTTATTTTATATGATGGCAATGGGGACACGAATGGTCGATTTATTTACATTAATGAAAACCCGTTATAGGGTATGCGATTGTAGCTACGAGAAACAATGTCAACTGAAGCTATGTTTGGTTTTTTTTTTTCTCGGTTTTTTTTAAGTCTGAATGTTTAAATGGACCTTGAATTATTTATTAGTTGTTAATGACTTTTAGTAGGTTTTCAGTAAAAGCGAGCGTTATTATCTAGTAAAAAAAAAGTGATTCAATTGTCATAGTTATTCAGCTAAGAATTACCAATCCGAGATCACAGATTAGCAATCCGTGATCACAGATTGTCAAATCGAGATCACCGAAATATTATCGGAGATCATGGATTATCAATCCGAGATAACAGATAAGCAATCGGAGATCACGGATTACCAATCCAAGATCGTGGATTATCATATCGAGATCACGGGCTGATTTTGTTTTGGTGTGTTATGGCTTTCGTAGTTCTTTTACCATTTGTTTACAAAACGTTAAAACACGATAAATTATTCACAAGATTATTATTAATTGATGTTAAATTGTATCTATTAAACCTTTTCTGGTTTTGAAAAAATAGATTTTATCTTCTCCTGCGTACTTTAATAAATGTATTTGTTTAGGATTAATCTCAGAAGTATCAAACACACAAACACGCCAATACAGGTAACAACAATATTTAGTATTTGTACTTTTTTAGATGATCCCCGCATCATATTGTATTCATCTTCCACCCAACACGAGCGCCAGCAGTAGTGTCGACTTTTCTAACACGTCTATTATAATACGCAAATGAGCTTTCTTTAAAATCATGTTTAACCTACCACCTTTGTTGGGAACATGGCTGTACTAAATCAGAAATATGACATCTTTATGTTTCCATTTAATCTGTTAGTTGAAAAAATCTCCTTTGAGTTCGGTATTTGTGTTAACACTTTTTGATACAGGAGAGAAATTGAAAAATAAGATTTCCAAATTTTTTTCTTATTGTTATTTTGTTGAAAGTTTATTTTATTTTCAGAGAAAGAAAAAAATATTAAAATAGATTTTATATTTTGCTAAAAAAAGACAACAAAAGCAGACGCACTATGCTGAAGAATAAGTAGTGAGGCAGAATAAACATAAACTGCTGTTAAATAAATATAATATTCGTTTGGATAACAGCACGACCTAATTAAATAAGTGACTATAGGTTACAAATAAAACATTTAACACCAAACAAAAATTATAAAAATAGGGATGACCATGCCTAAAGCTAATATTGACAAAAGTGTCAAATTAAATTATATCTATAGCTTTCCGACAATAACATTTTTAGTTCGGTTTAATCATTTGCGTTTTTGTGTACAATTTGTCATATGTGTAATTAACAATGAACAATTTCATGGTGGCTCGTGGTCAGAATTTTTTTCTGCCCGCAAATAGTTAACTTGTGCCGTTCCACGTTGAAAATTCGAACTATTTTGGAGTATAATACAAAACAGAATAAGTACATGTATATCATTTTTACTTGTTAGAATTCTGCAGACCCGCGTGTGATTCTAGCCGTGGAATTTTAGAATATCCTTAAAGCATGTTACTGAAAATACGAGGAAAATAACCGAAACAAATGATTAGAGGGATAACGGTTTTAGTGTATGTGAATATAATTACTTAATCAGACTTAAGGCTGTTTGGGTATTTGAAATGAAACGTTTACTGTCTAATCATCAGGTTAATATTTCACAAACATTGATGTATATTTTAAAGAGAGGAATTTAATGTTATGAAAAGGTTGGGTAGTACATTTAAGTGATTGACTTTCTTTTATCTACATGATCAATAACAAAATGGCGGATGGGTACAATTTTGCTAACATTACTTTGAAACGGGTAAATTTTTTATTTTACTGTACATTGTAAATGCAAATCATTTAGGGTTTATTCTTGATATTTTTCAAAAAGACAGTGTTGGGCAATTATAATAGACATTTTTAAGTCTACTGGAAGTAAAATTTCAGGTGTAAAAAATCTTAAATAAAATTGACTCATACTTTAAAGTAACAGGAAAGTTGGTTCAGTAAAATTATCTAATTAAGTAACAATCTAAAATTCAGGAATACTCAAAATTAGAAAAAAAAATATTCATTTTATAAATGTTTAAAAATACGAAAATTGCGAAAAATTATTTGTCTGTTTGACGTCATATCAAGGTATTGATTTAATTTCAAGTACCGGCATGTCGTTAATGGAATGTAGTTTCACTTTCATATTATATTAATATATTATAATACAATGAGAGGTTTTTTTTAACTTTCACTAGTAATTTTGCTTCACTTGAAGGGAAAACAAAACTGGCTCAAAGTTCAGATCATAAATGTAAATTAAGATAATACTATAAAATTTCATGTATTCGAGACGCCTGTCTGAATTTTCATTCATCGGTAACGTTCAATCCCAAGCATTTAAATGTCAAGGATATACAAGACCTAAACACGTGAAATATCCAAATAGTTTCAGTTAGAGCCGAATATTTGATATCTTTTTACACGTGTATTGTAAGTTAGGAAAAAAGTAAAGGAATATGCCCGGTAAGACCCCTTTTTGGCCCCAAAATATAGCATTTTTACCTATATGTTAAAATTTAATCTTTCAGCTCTTTATTGGAAAGTAGAATACTTCTGCTCCATAAATATGGGCTGGTTTTGACAATACAATGCACATGCAGCAGGTAATAGCATCATAAATTCGTGCAATATCACTGAAATCTTCACAATTTTAGCATTTGTGCTAATTTTAAGACGGCTTTTGTCTAAAATGGAAATGGCCGCATTCGTGTTCAGTCTTGATATTTAAATATATGTTGTATTTGATGATAATACATAACATATATAAAGGTTGAGACTGAACACGAATGTGGCCACTTCCATTTTGGACAAAAACCATCTGAAAAGTGACGTTTTATGGCAGATTTGATAGATTTTTCATATTCAAGCTTGAATTTGAGCGTCTTTAATGATCAAATCAGTTATATAGATACAATGGATAAGCGTGGATTCTTGAAAAAGAAACCATGAGCCCGGAGGGCGAATGGTTTGTTTTTCATGAATCTACGCTTATCCATTGTATCTATAACTTAAACTATTGTGTTAATTACTTTTCAAAATTAAAGCCTTTTCTTAATTAGAAGGTATTGTAAGTGAGTTTAAATAATCATGTTATCGTGTCCAATGATGCATTGATAAATCTCAGATCACAATTAATTGGTTAACAAAATACAAATATAACACTTCTACCTTTAAAGATCTTTATATTATCAGGCATCTGAATATTATCTGTTTTTACAAAATAAGACATATTCGAACTTATTTCTAATAAAATTGAGAATGGAAATGGGGAATGTGTCAAAGAGACAACAACCCGACCAAAGAGCATATATAAAGTATATATCATAAGTATGTTACCGAAATTTCTACCACTCTAGGCACATCACGAATTTCTCGCATAGGAATTTGCGAACAAACATTTGTAAAATTATGTTGTAAAACAGATGAAATCATACTATGTTTATACAACAAAAATTGACAAATAGAATGTAATCATTTTTGTTTCAAACATGTGAAATAGCCAACAATAATCCAAAAAATAAATGGTAAAACTCGCTATTATTACAAAAATATACACTATAACATGCAAAATTAGAAAAAAAAACAGAATTGGGACAACAGAGATAATACAGGGATTCGAACCTATACCGACAAATCCCTATCTTTTAACTCGTTGATTTTAAGCATGCTAACCTCGCGGCTACCAACTTATACTATACGACTGCCCATTGTTTATATATAAAGGTACAACCCCTGTGTGTCCGATGTTCATTTATATATATAAAATAGACATCTAAGTTGTAACCCATTGGTAGCCGAGAGGTTTCGTCGATGTGCTGATGTCAGTCATTCATAACAAATTTCAAGGAAAGGTTCGATTCCCAGTGAAGGCATATACAAATTACAAAAATTAAAGGTAAGTTTTTAAGTTAATTCCATTAGTGAACAGAAATCAGTAAATTAGCCAATTCAAACTTAATGAAATTAGACACACAAAGGAAACAATTGAATATAATTTGGTGAGTCCATTTCAGCGGCAGATTTAGAAAGCGTTGATTCTAGAAAAAGAATCCACGGTAAATGAATAGGCTGACGTCACCACAATGGTTTAAGTTCAAATCTTTTACTTAAACTATTTGAATCGACTAAAGTACACACTTAAGTGTTTGAAAAATATTAGGCCAAAACTAGCACTTACCGGACCTTCTCCTTAAACAAACTACCCATTTCCAAAGTAAATTCAAAACGAAAATTCCTTAAACAAATGGCAAAATAAAACACATCAAACGAATGGTACAGGCATTTCCTAATGAATAAAATGGTGGATAAAGAATTTCGCAAAGTTTAAATGTAAAATGTCTAAAATTACTGTTCAAAATAGTAACGTTTTGTGGTCTGTCGGATCTGCCAGAGTTTTAATATACTACACATTACTTTGCAAAGTTATTAGTGTTCCTTGGTAAGTAGAACTTCAAGTCAACCTTATACGCTTTTTGGTCGAATTGTTTGTTAATTGACAAAGATATCTATATAGAATGAAATAATATAACATTTTATATTTCGTATTTTCGTAAATCTTTTGTGCTTACCATTTTATAGCACCTGAGATCACATCTGGATTTTAGTGGGGCGTTTGTTGCTGTCTTATGTTTGCAGCCAATTATTCGCCTGCAGAACAAGAAACATATAAGAATGTATGTAAAAAAAAAATGTCTGCCTTTCTTTTGCGAAGGAAACATAAAGTTACAAAATTAATGAATACAAATTAAAGTAGACCAAAACAAAGCAAAAACAGAAAGAAGATACAAAATGTGAAATCTAAACCATGTCAAAAGAAAAATAATAAACAATTCAATGACAAAAACGACAATAAAAAGGACAAGTCTGAAAAAAAGTCACAAAGAAAGTTAGAGTTTGAGCTCCACTATCAGCTTCTTTATTTGAAACTCAAATTAAACATTTTAACAAAGTTCTAAATCGGAAAGCGTTTTTCAAAGAAACAACAGAAAATATCAAAGATATATGCCTTCAACAACAAGTTCCCAAAATGACGGACTAAATGTATGATAGAACATAAATAAGCATTAACTTGAGACGTCGATAGACAGTAGATATATATAAGAAGATGTGGTATGAGTGCCAATGAGGCAACTCTAAATTCAAGTCACAATTTGTAAAAGTAGACCATTATATATAAGTACGGCGTTCAACACGGAGCCTTGGCTCACACCGAACAACAAGCTATAAAGGACCTAAAAATTACTAGTGTAAAACTATTCGGATGTACAAGTAACCTGCCACGTCCACTCTGTGTTTTTGTGAGATGTATTTCTATTTTTATCCATCTGATGAGTGCAGCTTTTTTAAACTGATTATTATAGTTCGTTCTTATGTTGTACTGTTACACCACTGTCCCAGGTTAGGGGGAAGGTTGGAATCCCACTAACATGTTTAACCTTGCCACATTATGTATGTATGTGCCTGTCCCAAGTCAAAAGCCTGTAATTCAGTGCTTGTCGTTTGCTGCCTTGTTACATAGATATAGGAAGATGTGGTATGTGTATTTGTTTTTCGTTCATTTCTTGTATATTAGAAGATTCCCGCAAAATCGCGACACAATTAGGCAAGTGTTGAAACAAATAGTTTTAAAATTTTGCGGGCGATACATCGACTGAGCAATCGCTAAAGCGTATAAGACACGGATCGATAACGGTCTCCGAATTTGAATATTTTCTCAAAAATTGGCGTTGTCTGTGGAAAATAGATTGTTTCAAAGACAAATTTAGGAAATACAAAACACTGTATTTATACGTCATATCACAAATGTTTTACGACTTTTTATAGTTTCAGACGAGTTGCGGCTCAATGAAATCGGTCGCTCCCTTTAATAGTATAGATTGATTAGCCCGTTAGTTTTCTTATTTGAATTGTTTTACATTTACCATTTCCGGATCTTTTATAGCTGACTATGCGGTATGGGCTTTGCTCATTATTGAAGGACATACTGTGACTTATAGTTGTTATTTCTGTGTCATTTGGTCTATTGTGAATGGTTGTCTCATTGGCAATCATACCACATCTTCTTTTTTATATAAACAGGAAAACAAACGCCTAACCTATATGAAAAATAGAAACGAGAAACACTTATGAACCACAGGTACACGTTTGGAGGTATTTGACTAGTTTTTATTTGTGGATACCCTCACTCCCTTTGTAGTTCTACTCAAGTTAGACTTACAAAAGGTACACAAATGAACATACGATGGTTGCCGTTAACTGATTATTGTATATTTACTTTCTTATGGGTGCAATCATTGTTATCAGGTAATATTATCATATACTTGAATTGCGTTTCTATAAAGTTATCAATATGACGCCGAATTTGCTTGTGCTGTATTTCTGTTATGTAGTGTTTTCATTTGAGATATATTTTCAAAACATTGTCATAAAGCGGAAGGCATGGCTAGCGATTAAACCAGGTTCAAACCACCAATTGTTTCTTAAAATGTCCTGTACCAGGTCAGTAATATGGCAGTTGTTATCAAATTTGTCGTTTCTATGTATGTTGGCGTTTGTTTTGGTTGCACTTCAGTGTTCCTGTTGTTACTGTGGTTTCCTCTTATAGTTGATGAGAAACCATTTACGGGGAAATATGGTGACTTTGATGACCTCTGCTTGAATCCTTTGGACATTATCATTATGTCCTGTACCTTCTACTACTTGACTCATTTATTCTGTTAAGAATTGACAAGAGTGAATTGATTATTATAATTATATAGTAAACATTCATTTGCGAAAATGAGCCTCTAAGTCGTTCCTTATAATTGATATTTGATATGACCAGGATACATCACATCTGCTCATTTTATTATGGACATTGTAAATGAAAAATGTATGGGTTGTCCGCCTAACAGGTTAGCAAGAAAAAGAAGGCATGCATTTTGCGTTATTACCTCAATACAATGTTCCACCTTGAAATTTGAAATTACATTTCCAAATAATTCGTATATAACCTAAGTGATGCATATACATTTTTTACAATCTAACGTTTTATTTCGTTTTGTATAACATTATAATCGGAATAACTGTACTGTAGATTTGATTTGACGGTCGCAAATTTCGGTTTAACTGTCTTCGCTTCCCGTCGCCGGTAAACCTGCATTTGCAACCATCAGATCGCCAATTGACGGTGGCAACCTTCAACCACAGTACTAATATTTTTTGTTCTTTTGTTTTTCAGATTTTTCTTATAAGGTGAAATTATGAATGACAAAAAAGTTAGACGACTGATCAAATTATCAGTTGACACATCAACGAATGTTCTCCGTGCATTGTGTCAGAAAACATTATTGTCTTGTCCTGAAGAAGATTTCCAAAGTTTTCTCACTGAAAATCTTCATTATTTTTTCATCAATATGAAGGAGAAAACATACGATGCTGTGAATGTACATTATCAGATTGTAAAAATACCCAGACTAATGATTTTCTTGCAAGCTTACAAATATAAAGGCGATCCAGCTGATGGCCATGTAGTTACAGAAGAAGAAAAAATTGTTCAGAAGTGTATGCATACGTATGTTACACGTGACATTTCGTAAGATGATCTTGAAACGGAAGCTTAATCCGTTTTCTTATTGGATAAGGGGAATTTGTCTTAAGAGGAAAATGCAGCTTTAATTGTTATACGAACGATTGCACAAAGACTCGGAGACATGAAGCGAGAGCCTCCTCGGAACATGGATGTCAAATGGGCTGATTTAGAAAAAGCTGTTATTTCATTGACACATCCACATTATTACCGTCAACTGGTTAAAGAAGTCTTTGATGAAATTTGTAACCTTGATAAATCAAAACCTGAGGCATCTGGCGTAAGTGTAAAAGTTTCTTCTATGTGAATATTACTGTGATTCAGCAGTTTCTAGATTAAATCGTACTGAACAATTATGTTTAGGTTTGTTATCTAGATTCCGAAAATGAACTTTGCATGTTAGACGGTCACTGGTTGTGATTTGCTTAGACAAATTTCATGGATTGTCTCAAAACACTCTCCCCTGACAATGTTGACCTCAAACCGATCTGGATGTTGGATCTTGGAAAAAAGTTTAGGACTATTTAGTTTTTGTTTGAACATACAGTTTAGGCGTTTGTGTACACAAACTGTTGTTGTAATTGAAATATAGGTTTTAAAATATAGGCAGTTAGGTGGAATTTTTTTAATTACTGATATTGGCATCATTAACTTATATTGAAATATGTAAAACAAGGAATGATTTAATATCCTTCGGAGGAATAAATATGACTCTTCGACACCCCCTCAAAATTCCTAGCGTTGCAATCAGTTTATATAAATAATGTTGATAAATGTATCAGAATGTGTAAGAATACGTTTAAACTACATGTATAAATTGATTTATAAGCACATTAAAGCAAGTTGTCCGAGTCATAAGAGTATAAGGAACTTAAATCAATTCATTGCACAATTGATAATTAACAATTTAGATCTTTACTAATAGGTGTAATTGAAACTTAATATCATTATTGATAACACATGAATTTATTCATTTTTTGTAGATCAAAAATAGAATAATCAGAATGTGTAAGAGTGTAAGAATACGTTTTAATTACATGTTTGAATTGAATTATATGCATTCAAAAGCCAGATACCCATGTCTTAAGGGTATAAGGAACCTAAATTAATTCATTGCATCATTGATAATTAACAAACTGAAACTTTACTCATAATTGTAATTTAAACTTAATATCTGTATTGTGATAACACATTTATTTATTCATTTTTTTTGTAGATCAAAAAAGAGAAAACGTTGAATCAAACAAAGGAATGCTCGATAAGCGAGGAGGAATGGATAAGTGGCAACGAAAGCCAATCCATGAAAAGCAAGTCTGATGAACAAAACATGCAGATGTTAACAAAATTATTTAAGTCAGTAATACCAACTGAAAGAAACAACAAGTCTTCATTGGAAAACGTAGCTGATATGGACAAGATACTTATTCAGCCATGTACGAATTCTCATAACCTTTACTTCAAAAAAAATTTAAAAAAGCGATAGAATTTTCGAATATTGGTATCTATAAAAGTGATACCATCGTGTCTTGTTAAATGGTGAAATGAAATGTGGTAACAAACTTATTTTCATAAAAAAATCTATATATTTTGTGTAAAATCATTTTGTGAAAGAATTTCAATAACAAACAATTTGGAGGTTATGATATACTATTTAAAATTAGTTCGTAATGACAAAAAAAATATTTAGAGGCTAATTGGCTCTCAAATTGTACTTTTGTCATTAAAATTTTCAAATTTTGAAATATATCTATTCAGGATATCATTCAAATCAAATTGATATATAATTATAATCTGCCATTCCAAAGGAATCCCTGTGTCATGTTGCCCGCAATTTACAAATGTAACCTTAAACCTAAACCTTAAAAATATTTTAAAGGTTAGTAAAACTAGTTATTTGAAGTGACATTCAATTTAATAATGGCTTTTAGTTTGATTAAGAAGGTAAAATGCGACATTTTATCTCGTTTGTTTTAAACTTTCAAGACATTGGTATTAAAAAATCGCTAAAATACAAAAAGTGAAAGAAGAAAATGGATCTATGGTAAATAAAGAAAAAGAAAAAGACTAAATGAATACAAAAATTCACAAACACAAAATAAAAAAATCTAAATATGGTATACACGAATCTACTAATATTCGGGAATGACCGCATAATTTTCTATTTTATTTCATTGATATCATTTATTTATTCCTTTTTTGTATAATTTTGTACTACTATTTTTCTAGGTGCGATAGAAAAAAAAATAGGAAAGTTGACTGAAGATGTGCAGTATCAGAAGATTATCAAAACTGACAAAGTTGATAATAACAACTACATGTTTTATTAGTCATTGTAGAAAAACATCTGTCATTACTTCATATTCAGGATAAACGCACAAAATTCACTTAATAAATGATTAAATATATTATGGCTGCTGTCAAATTAATATTTTATGACATATTTAGTACAGGGGAGCTGAAAGATACAAGATTATAAATCGAAATCAAACTGACATTGTCATGGCATAACACGAAAAACGACTAAAAGACAAAAAAACAACAGTACACAAAACACAACATGGAAACCTAAAGACAGAGCAACACAAACCGCGCTTATAGCCAAGATCGATCTCAGGTGGTCCGGAAGGGTAAGCAGATTCTGCTCCACATGTGGCATTCGTCTTGTTGCTCATGTTAGTATAAACCCGGTGATAATTCTAATTATTTTTTATCTAACATTGATATATAGTTTGAACAATTTGAGATCAACTTAAACCACAAACTAGAGGTAATAGTAAATAGCAAATGTTCAAATCTCATAAATTAATTCAGAACATACAAATATATATCAAGTAAGAACCAAAACAAAAGTAAGATTTTGAAAGTCTTGATTAAACTTCATTCTTTTCTGATTGATGTTTTTCAGTATCTAGAAATAAAGAGACAAAAAAAAATAGTAACATGAAATAAGAAACATGCATTTTATTTGTAACTAAAGTTATAAGAATATTTTATGCGACTGTCATATAAGTGATAGGTTGAGCTAGCTGTAACACCGGGTTTAATCTACCATTTTCTACATAAGAAAATGCCTGTACCAAGTCAGGAATATGCCAGTTGTTATCCATTCGTTAATGTTTTGAGCTTTTGAGTTTGTCATTTGATGAGGGACTTTCCGTTGTGAATTTTCCTCGGAGTTTGGTATTTTTGTTATATTACTTTTTATATTTTTTAGTCTTTTAATACTTTTTATCATGTTTATTCTGCCCATTATAGAACTTCGTCCGATGGATGTAAAATGGAATATCAAAACCCCTAAAGGATGCAAGATTGAAAAAATTATCAAGAAACTGAAGAGTAAAATGGAAGAAATTTCTACAAATTTGCCATTAAGAATTAAAAATATAACCAGAGGATCAGTCAATATGTTGACAACAGTTGAAGCCGGAATCCTTACAGACCAAACAAAATGCAATCGTATATTCAAGTCCTTTCTTGGGAAAATAGTGAATGTCGGGGAATTTGTGACAAATAGACGGCATACAATAGATGTTCGTGCAGAAATTGTGCATGAAGGTAAACATTATTCTATAGTATAATACTTTTAAAATACTACTTAGAACGTTCTAATTTCTTATGGTCTGAAAATATATGTACTAAAGCCTTGAATATATCAAACAAGAAAGAACAATTGGATTCCAAAGGACATACATTGAAATGGTTTATATGAAAGTCTATAGTTCCTCGATAGTAGTCTGACAATATCTTAAAAATACTGAATTAATCGGATGTTTATTACATTTTTGGGACAGTGTTTCGTTATTTAACGAGTGACATCATTTCGGCTTTCATGAATTGCAGAATTGTTTATGTTTACCGAAACGTACAACCATTTACTGTTGACAGCTTTCTGGTGATTTCTCGTATATCTTTATTCAAAATGTCATTCTTTCTTATTGAACATATTAGTAGTTTCTCTTATTTCATATTTTTGTGTTATAAGTTATAAATTTTTAGCACACATTTCTCAACGCACTCTAACATGATGGTAAATGTTCACCGTCGTCTGATAAGTTCATTTCTATGGAAATGTGATGTACCGATGCAAATATTCATATTCTTGCATATAACCTGTGACATATTTTATAATGGAAGAAACTATTGAAACTCCCTACCCATTTCCTATTTTCTATTAAGTAAATAGAAATTGTTTGAATGCAATATATTATGCCCACTAATGACTTGACACCATAATCTCAGGAACTAGGGGCGAAGTTAATTTCCAATCAGTTTTCCTTATCAGCACTGCATATCTATTGTTTCGCATTTATTGTCTCGTATTTATCGTCTCATATGTACTGCTCTTCCTGAAATGTCAATTATATTGTTCATTTACTTGATGAAGAACAAGATATAAGCCGTCTATCATAATTTAAGAACACTTGTTTTTTAATGTCATAAACAGAATCAGCGACTTCTATAATGTGTTATTTTGTATTTGTTTTATATCTATGGCTTAATCTGTATTTTTTTTAGATCCTCCGTTTACTTTTGAAATGAGTGAGACATCGTTGGAAATGCCTGTAGATTTATTAAAAGCAGCAAGGAATGCTATCGATTTTGGTGTAAATGCACGTAAGTTTTTTTTAAATGCTTTAAGAATATATCTCGGTATTGTTTAAAGCTTTGGCTTTACTTGTCATCACGTTCGTTTTCCCAATATCACCAATATTTATTTATAGATCTCCTGTTTATTGATTTTTTTCGTATTAACACTACTGGTGAGTTCGATTATCCTTATTTTATTAAGTTAGTGTTTAAAATTGGCTTGTAGGAACATCATATGATTATAATCGTCTTTTCCTGAATTCATCTTACTTTCCTTTCAGTCTTTTAATTAAAATATATACTTTATCAAATCAATTCAAATAAAATTATTGGTATAAAAGGGAAGTGTGGTTTAGGTTTGGATTACAACGGCATTTCTTAATCATTCGTTACAGTCTTTTTTGTAGATGAAACGCGCGTTGGGCGTAAATACAACATTTTAATCCTGATATATATGATGAGTTTATTTACAACCACTGGGTCGATGCCACTGCTGGTTGAGTTTTTATTCCCAGAGGGAATAATCAGCTCAGTAGTCCGCACTTCTGTGTTGACATGAATTATCATTGATATGGTCATAATTTTAAATTAACTGTTCACAAAACTTTGAACTTTTGAAATACTAAGGTTTTTCTACATCAGGAATAGATTACCTTAGCTGTGTTTGGCAAAACTTTCAGAAATGCTTTGTCTTAAATTGTCTTCAACTTCGTACTTTTTAACCTTTTTGAATCGAGCGTCACTGATGAGTCTTTTGAAGACGAAACGCGCGTCGGGCGCTAATACAAAATTTCGATCCTGGTATCTCTAATGAGTTTATTTACCTCAATCCTCTTATACTGAGTGGTTTACATTTTTGTTTTGCTTCTTGAAAATCGGCACATAGTTATTCTACTTTTGCAGTAACAGGTTTGATTGCATTGATGAATATGCGTAAGAAGTGTAAAATAAAAAAAAATCCGTTTTGGAAATGTATAATTTCAAATACACTTTAAAATTACTCATCACTGTTGTTGTGATAGGTAAATGCAATATGAATATTATACATGAAATAGCAGTAAGCTTGGTCATTAGTACTTCTATTTTCAAAAACCCTTTAAACATCTTTACTTACAATCAAGCAAAATAATATGTCTTGTATTTCAGGTAATAATTACCCTTGATTTCTTATGTGTGATAGATTCATTGTTGATTGTATTGTTGATAGAAGACTAACCAAAAAGACATCAGGTAATGTGTTTTAAAGAGAAAAAATATTTCTTAAAATGTTCTAGGTGTATAAAAAAGTAAAATAACAAAAATACCGAACTTCGAGGAAAATTCAAAAAGGGAAGTCCGTTATCAAATGGAAATATCAAAGGATCAAATACATCAAAAGAATGGATAACATCTGTCAAAGTCTTGACTTGGTAGATGCATTTTCTTATGTAGAAAATGTTGAATTATACCTGATTGTCTAGCTAGCTAAACTTCTCAATTGTATGGCAGTCGCATAAAATTTAAAGGAATAATGACAACGATGTGTTAACAAAACAAACAGACATTATAGGTAAAAATATCAAAAATACAGGTACATCAGTCAACATTGTGTTATAATCTTAATTACTATAACAACAAAAAAATTTAGCAAAGAAACACAAAACGCATATAGACAAAGCACATTTACAAAAAAGAAAAACCAAAAATAACAATTTTTTACACAGAACCATAACACAATGACGGGATGTAAAAGTACAGAGCCACGTCAAATGGATATCACCAAAAAAAGACTGAACAGTAAAACTAATATTCATAAAGACAAACAAAAGACTACTATAACACATTATTAAGATGATAAACAACGTCATATATACCGCAGCTGTAAACTGACTTTATGAGAACATCGCATTGAAGCAATATGATTTTTTTAATATAAACAATTCATAATTTATATATATATATGTAAATGTTTCATTAATTTCAATGTAAATACCTTCAAAAATTGAAAGTTGGCGTTCAGTTTTAAATGCATGAATGATGTATGTCATATAAAGGCTGAAATAACATATTTTAGCAATAGGAGACTGTAATTTAACACCATTGAAAATTTGTAGCAAAAAAAATTCTTATAACGTCTATTATGTTAAAATGTGCTCAATTCTAGTAATACATTGATGACCTCCTCGGAGGTCTCGTTAATGCATGTTCGCTTCGAGTTCGGGAGATCAAGGGTTCGAACTCCAGCCGGTTCACACCAAAGACTATAAAATTGATATGTTATGCTTCTCCGCTAAGCATGCGTCATTAGAGAGTAAGAGAAAAGACTGCTCAGCTCGGAGTAAGGGTATTGTGTCCGGGTCGGTTGATAAGTCTTAATGCGGGCTGTACCTTGTGAACAAGCGTGTTAAACATGCGACTCAGTGAGGTTGGTCTAGTACTAAACAGAGTCAATATTAATTTTATATTAACATATTGTCGTCCTGAATATTCATTTTATTTGCCACTGGACGTTAAGCAGCCATCCATCATCATCATAATCTGATATTTCATTTTTCATATTTTTCAGCATTTTTTAAGGCATTAAACCACCAGTCCAGAACCCTATATCCTAAATTCGAAATGCACTGCCGTTCTATTTACATTAACATAAAGTTACTGTCATATCATTTCAAAACAATACTAGTACCTTGTCTCTGTGGTGAACAGAAATTAATTATGAATTTATGTCAATGTTCTATTCAAAGTTGTCCAAGATGACGACATACTGAGGTCGTAGTCGTAACAATCGGTAGACTTTAAATTGTATTATTCCACTTTATGTAAATGTTGATATCGAAATCAACATTTGATTCATTGAGACTATCCAACGTGGCATTGAACAAAACTTCATATTCCCCATTGAGTATCATATTCTGCTCTGAAATGTCTATACTACCTCGTGCGACTTTATGAGCGATTAATGTGCACAACGTTTTGAAAGTGTTTATTCCAAATAGCGAAAATATAGCCATTATTGTGTTCAAAACTATTTGACGTAAGAACAAAATAGAGAAAAAATGATGTTTTCAATGAGTCTGTCGTGTTCAGCTATAAAAGCGGACATGAAACGTGGCAATTATAAAATTTTATGTTTATGAAGTTATTTATTACATTAATTTTCCTTGGGTCATAGAGATATGATTATTTGTTCACCTTCGGAACGTCCTATTTCCCTAGGGAAATATTATTTTTCTGAGATAAAGAAATCTTCATATCTACCTCAAGCACGATATGTAACTGCAGTCAGTTAGAATCCATTCGTTTGATGCGTTTGAGCTTCTGATTTTGCCATTTGATTACGAACTTTCTGTTTTGAATTTTCCTCGGAGTTCTGTATCATTGTTATTTTTACTTTTTTTCTATACCATGGCACATTTGCCTTATCAAATTTCGGTTTCTTCAATTTCAATATTTCATTAAAAAACCAAAACATGTAGATACACAAAAATGTAATTAGCTTTAAGAGAAAATAACTCAGTTCGTTTTGAATTTCAGGATCTTGGCCGTTTGATGACAACATGATTCAAGTTTCCATGATAACATATACTTTTAAAAGACTTTTGCAAAACCATCAAAGCTTCCAGGACCAATTTTTCACTAGCAAATCATTGCATGAACGGTTCACACACAGTATCAGGCTTTGGGAACCCGGAACATTTGGTATTAATCCCGGATTGGATTGTCGGTATTTGCTGTGTAATTTTGACCAAAATAATGATGATTTCATGGACATCTTACATTCGGTATTAACATCAGCAATTGCGGCACAAAGTTATAACTGAGCAAAAGCATTGGCATGGTTCTTGAACGGGACCTCCTTGGTTGAAATGCAAAGAGATCGGAAATGCACGAGAATCCCATTGTTGTTTATTGCAAAAATTCCGACGAAATAGAATTTAAATGTGGGAAACTGGTCAGCTATGTATTTCCACCGGAATCAAGTGAAGGCACCAGCGTCGATGCAGCGATTATCAGAAGGATCCGTTTAGCCGAATAAGTCAAAACGTTGTTGCCATTAATAGTGAAGGCCATTGTAAGTATCACTGCAAATTCTATAAATAACGTTTTACACTAGTAATTTTTTGGGGCCCTTTATAGCTTGCTGTTCGGTGTGATCCAAGGCTCCGTGTTGAAGACTGTACTTTGACCTATACTGGTTTACTTTTATAAATTGTGACCTGGATAGAGAGTTGTCTCATTGGCACTCATACCACATCATCTTATATCTATTTATTCATATTGCATACGATTTCATACGAATGCTTCGTTTTTCTTATATATGACAAACTTATATATAACTAGATTGTTTATAAATTTGTAAGTCTAGTTTCAGTTTTAAAAGACATGAGTATATATATTGTGTATATATACCCACATCTGGCGTACCATATTTAATTCTGACATCTTTGCACGAACACCTATTTTTCTTCCAGAACTCATTACTCCTATTTCTTTAAATGCTAATCAGTACATTTCCAACAGATGTAGAATAACTTCATCATAAGTAGTCTGAGAAAAACATGGATATTTTAAATTCCAACATATTACTAAGTAGTATAGACATGATGTAAGACCATAAATATAGAAATATTATATATTGTCCAAAACATTACTTTTGTGAAGTTAAAAAAAAACAGGTAAAATGTTAGGCTTTAACGAGCATTTTCATCCCTATCGAGCTGAGAACAACTTATACTATTTTGAGGTACTCGAAAATGCCAAAGAGGAAACTAATTACTCGACTGACTAAACGGTGTTGCAATGAGGTCACAGAAGCAGGAGTTTAAATCCCACTGGGGGAATAAATTGCATTTCCTGACGTAAATTTGCAGAACTAACATTGTTGGGCTTAATAAACTGATAAAGGATATAAAAACAAATACGGACAAGATGCTTTAAACTCGTATTGAGAGATAATTTGGAATCATCGATTACAGTCCAGCAACCTATATCATGGCATTCATGTGTTTTAGCTTTACTGAGCAAATATGAATTAAGCTATTGAATCAATCTCAGCATAACAACCAAACAAAACCTACAAACGTCTCAAAACAAATTAACAGCTATGGATCGTGAGAAATGGTTAACTGATGTTTTTGACGATAAAAATTCTGTAAATGGAAACAAGCTAAGAACATTCAGAAGGTTTAAAAACAATTGCAAAACTAGTTTATTCGTTAAAACAGTCAAATTTCGTGACCATCGTCGCATTTTATCGAACTTTCGATGTGGATCACTGCCGCTTGCGGATGAGACCGGACGTTACACCAAGCCGACCACCCCATTATATGATAGACTTTTCTGCAATGACAATTTTATAGAGACAGAACAACATTTTTTAATAGACTGTAATTTTTTCTCACATATAAGAGAAGAACTTTTTAATTATGTTAATGCTCTAAACAACTCTTTTAATTGTTTTAATTCTGATGACAAGTTTGATTTTATTATGAACTGTGATGATACCCAAGTTTTATTAGCCAAGACATTGCATCTTATGTTTAAACGTAGGAAGATAAATTTGTAAATTTTTAATCTTTACTGAATGTATAAATGAATTTTAACGAGTATTTAGAATTTTTAGTATCATATGAAAAGTTTTATTATTTATTTAATCATTTTACATAATAGCATATACGTTTATTTTGAAAAGGATGAAAGTGTCTTAAAGGCAGGGATATAATATTGTTTTAAAGATTTTTTATATTGTATATGATGATGTATATTAGATTGTGACACTATAATAAACTATTTACTTACTTACTTACTTACTTACTTACCTACACAACACGACCAACTAAGATATACAACATTTGGCTCTCTTTATTCGAGTAATGCCTTTACTTGCTGGCTTTATATAGGCTTGTTACACCGTACATAATATGATATACCATAAAACCTCTAAATATTCATATAGCCCTTTTGTTTAAACAAGACTTCGCTTTTGATTTGTGAAGAAGATGGACCAAATGTGTAATTTAAATGCATGAATTAGTAAAAAAAAATAACACAAATTAGTTACAATGTTCATTTTTGAAAACCTTGCTAACGATTGCATAAAAGCACGTGTTATATTGAAACAAGGAGTGCAGTATTAAAAATTATAACATACAAATAAAAAAATCATATTTGTATAAAACAAACAAATAAGAGTAAAATAAAACGCTACTGTAGTAAACGTGTTAGTTTTCATATAAATTATATTACATATATTACTTTCAGGTTTAAAATAAATGTACTTACATCGCAACTATATTGACTACCAAGAAATTGAAACAATTCATGAGGTGCAGGTGGCTGCTGTTGGGGCGATTTCATCAGTTCAACATGGAAGCGATAGGATATGTTTGGAAGATAAAAAACCAAGTTGAATTTAAAACCCTTGCCCACGCTGTTAGAAATAAAGCGAATCATTATCCAAAGCCTCAGGAAATAAATGACTGCATTCATCTTGTGGATAGCGTATTAAAACAAGTAGGAGACCAAGAACTTAAAACTCCAAGAACGATAACGTTACATCAACAGATTTCAATGCGCAATGTGTCTTTCACACAAGGTGACTCCGGTATGTGTATCTATGTCAAATGTCCGGACAATGAATTTCGTTGTTTAGGAATGGCTATTGCATCACACCCAGATGGTGGGTGTATCATTACTCCAATAAAGGCCATTTTATCGGCATTTAAGTTAATATGAAATATTCAATAGATGCATAATAATAATTCATACTAGTATTCATAATGATGTATTTCAATCCATTTCATGGGTAGATGACTTGGAAACCATAATGCTGATTCTGGTCTAAGATTTTTCTGCCGTCTGATGTTCTATTGTTTCTTTTTTTTGGGGGGGAGGGGGGGGGGGGGGGGGCGTCAGACACCAGAGCACAGTCCGTAAGATAAAAGGAAATCGCTGAATCGAAAATTAATATATGTGTGTTCAAGTGGCTAAATCATGCATCATTCCTTATTCATCAAACTCTAAGAATATGTAGCTTCTATTAACGTACAATCCAATGTAACAAAAACAAAAGCTTTATTTCCATCAATCATCATTTCTCTTTGAATGTGTTTGCACATGATTGCATTCTGTGTGTTTTTGTGCATATAATTCTTACAGTTAATGAATATGACACCGGTGACCCGTATGTATAAACAATATTTGTCTCTTCAACAAATCTACTCAATGCGGAAGTTCCACTATAAAAACTAGTTGAACTCAAAATAGAAAAAGTTAGAAGTGGGGTTCGTGTTGCGTAGTCTTTAGTTTCTATGTTGTGTCATCTGTACTATTATTTGTCTGTTTGTCTTTTTATTTTTGGCCATGGCGTTGTCAGTTTGTTTTCGATCTATGAGTTTGACTGTCCCTCTGGTATCTTTCGTCCCTCTTTTAGGGAAATATTTTAAAGAGACGGTAACACAATATCACAAAAACACGTTCAGAGATCGACATTCAGTCAACTACAGATAAGTGTTTACACATTATGTACATGTCAAGCTCAAAAAATTTGCCCTGATTCTAGAAAAGTTGTAATAACTACTTCGACAGATTATTAATGATCTACACCAATTATTCTATAAAGGACAAACAACATTAGATTATGATTGAGGGATTCCTTATATGACATGCCAATGAACATGCGGCGAAGTTATTAAAACTCAACGGTCACCTTCAAAATCTCGATCAATGAAAGCTTGAAGAATTATAGAAAACAAATCTGTTATACTTGTATTATTAACACCAAACATGCAGTTAAAAGAATCTTGCACCATAAAAGAAATTAGCATCTACTAAAATCAAGCTTAAAGCACATTTACTGCTGAATAAGAAAGCGTGTCGTCCTATATCTTATATCGGCGGATGAACATCGGAACAATTTGGATATCAAGTTCATTATAAAAAGTGATGCAAGATATGAATAAGCTTCTTTACTGTAAAGCCCTCTCCAAGAAAATCAAAGTGCTACTATTGGATATTCAAATTAGTCTGCGCAATCAAAAGATTGATTTGGACATCCCGTAAATTCCAATATCCTCTGTTAAGCTCACCTATAGGTATCTTGTTTAAAATTTATTAGATAATCTCGCTAACCAATCAACAGTCACCTTCAAAATCTCGATCAATGAAAGCTTGAAGGATTATAGAAAACAAATATGTTATAGTTGTATTATTAACACCAAACACGCAGTTAAAAGAATTTTACACCATAAAAGAAATGTGCATCTACTAAAATCAAGCTTAAAGCAAATATACTGCTGAATAAGAAAGCATGTCGTTCTAAATCTTATATCGGCGGATGAACATCGGAACAATTTGGATATCAAGTTCATAATAAAAAGTGATGCAAGATATGAATAAGCTTCTTTACTGTAAAGCCCTCTCCAAGAAAATCAAAGTGCTACTATTGAATATTCAAATTAGTCTGCGCAGTCAAAAGATTGATTTGGACATCCCGAAAATTCCAATATCCTCTGTTTAGCTCAACTATAGGTATCTTGTTAAAAATTTGTCGACATGATTTAAAATTGAACATAGGTGTAAATTGCAAGTTTTGCCTGTTATCTTAAAAATAACCATAGATAAAAAAAATATGTTCCGAATGTGGAGATATGCATACTGTTTATTTACTCAAAACTGTCCGACAACTTCTGATAGGAGTTATACCCCTTAGATAACTATTTTTACGTGTTTTTTTCATATTGGTCTATTGTCTTGAATATTTCAATAGATGATCATAGATAGAGAGAAATTTAATGAAAATAAAATTGATTCGCAAGGCATGAACTACATATGTGTCAATAAACTTATCATACATACCAGGAATGAAATTGTGTGCACCAGAAGCGCATTTCTTCCACAAAAGACGGTCCAGTGACGTTTGGTTCATAAAGGTTAAAAAAGCAAAATAATGTTAAAAGATGAAGAACACTGAGGACCCAAACTTCCGAATGGCTTTCTCAAATACAACATGTACAGCTAAGATTATATATACCCGACTATTCAAATTATCGAAATATTCAGTTGCACTTATTGAAATAATTGACCTATAACGATTTTAATATATTTTTCGTAGCATACAGGCCATCACGAGTTGGTTGACCATTATGGAAAATCTATCTGTTTCACAGACAAGTGATATTTTCCTAATATCGTAACTACAACCCCGTCCCCTTTTCCCGAAAGTGACCTACCGATTTAGACTTAATTATTACCGTGTTTGTTTAAACATGAGCAACATGGATGGTGCCACTTGATCTCGAGAACAGGATCTGATTACCCTTCCGGATCACCTGAGATCGCCTCTAGTGTTTGGTGGTGTACGCGTTGCTCAGTCTTAAGTTTTCTATGTTGTGTTTTGTGTACCATTGTTTGTCTGTTGTTCTTTTTCTTTATTTTTAGAAATGGCTTTGTCACTTTATTTTCGACTGATGAGTTTGAATGTCCCTCTGGTATCTTTCGCCTCCTTTTTATCATTATATCACGATCAACAAAGAAGATATTTAAGTCATGGACTATATTCTAATCTACAATGGTGGAGAGTGTCCATTGTCGAAGATGCACATAGATCCAGATGAATGACATAATTATGCGCTTAGTAGCCTATAGTTTGCTTCTTTGTTTAGATCTGTCGAAAATTAATGTTACATAACCACCAATATTGTTTGTAAAGAATGCTACATTGTATAACACTATATTTACCAGAGTTTCTCATGAAGCTATTGTGGCTCGCGGAAGACGCTGATTTGATGTTATCCTTTCTTTTGACTTCATGGTAACAAACCAACGATTTAATTGTACTTTTTTATCAATCTTTTTAGCACATATTTACAACTACTCGTCCAATCAAATTGCTTGAATTTCCCTCCTAAGTTTTGTAGTACATAGTTTTTCATGATGAATGACAGCAATAGTAAAATTTCATTTCATTGTAATTAAGATATCAAGACAATAAAATGCCAGTATTGAAGGAAAATATGTCGTGAGATTTGATGAATATTTAAAATATATTTTTAAGAGATAAGATACTATTATTTAAGAAAGGAAAAAACGTGTTCTTGATCCAATACAACACGAAAATAAGTCAAACATCGTCATTTAAGGGCAATAACTCCGATCAGACTTCATCCCATTGTTTTGATCAGATTGTCATTTGTTTAGATATTGTATTGTTATTAAATTTTGCTATTAATAGTTACCAAGTAACATTTAAATTTTTCGAAATATTTAAAATGCAAAAACACGAAAACTAGTCAAAATCATCATTTTAGAGACAAAAGTCCTATATAATGAGTTGTCAAAAATTGAAGGGGAACTGTCATATTGGTGGTATTGATGAAAACCTTGGTATTGATTATCATATTTGGTGTAATCAGTTCTAACTTATCTATTATTGTTTTAAATATAATAGGCAAAAAACACTAAACTCATTAAACTAGAGGCTCTCAAGAGCCTGTGTCGCTCACCTGTATTTAATGATGCTTTGGAAATCATGTAAAATAAGGTTAAAATCATAATTAATAGTATTAGATATTAGATATTATAATGATATCTAAGATAATAACAAAAAACTGCAAAATTTCTGTAAAATTACTAACTCAGGGGCAGCAACCCAACAACGGGTTGTCGAATTCGTCTGAAAATTTCAGGGCAGATAAATCTAAATCTGATGAACATGTTTGCCACCTGTCAGATTTTCTCTAAATGCTTTAGTTTCAGAGATATAAACCAAAAAATGCATTTTACCCCTATGTTCTATTTTTAACCATGTCGGCCATGATGGTTGGAAGGCGGGGTTATCGGACAAATTTTTTAAACTAGATACCCTCATAATGATTAAGGCCAAATATGGTTAAATTTGTCTCAGTAGTTTCAGAGAAGAAGATATTTGTAAAAGATTACAAAAATTTACGAAAAATTGTTAAAAATTGACTATAAAGGGCAATAACTCCTAAAGGGGTCGACTGAGAATTTTGGTCATCACAACTTATTTGTAGATCTTACTTTGCTGAACATTATTGCTGTTTTACAGTTTATCTCTATCTATAATAATATTCAAGATAATAACCAAAAACTGCAAAATTTCCTTAAAATTACCAATTCAGGGGCAGCAACCCAACAACGGGTTGTCAGATTTGTCTGAAAATTTTAGGGCAGATAGATCTTGACCTGATAATCAATTTTACCCATGTCAGATTTACTCTAAATGCTTTGGTTTCAGAGATGTAAGCCAAACTCTACATTTTACCCCTATGTTCTATTTTTAGCCATGGCGGCCATCTTGGTTGGTTGGCGGGGTCATCGGACACATTTTTTAAACTACATACCCTAATGATGATTGTGGCCAAGTTTGGTTAAATTTGGCCCAGTGGTTTCAGAGGAGAAGATTTTTGTAAAAGCTAACGACGACGGACGACGACGACGACGGACGACGGACGCCAAGTGATGAGAAAAGCTCACTTGGCCCTTTGGGTCAGGTGAGCTAAAAATTAAAATTAAGGACACTGAATTGGTGAATTTCAATTTTGACTAAGCATCAAAATAGCAACTTTACCTGCATATGGGATATACATTTCCCAACTCATTCGGTATTCAAGAGCGTGCAGCTGATACCCATGAAATGTCACCAGTGTCTGAGCAGAAAGTTTATGAGCCATGGTTACACAGCAAAAATGCAACGCATGTAACGCATGTTTACCATGAATTTACCATGTTTCTAAACATGTCAGAAAAAAGTAAAATCACAAAAATATCGAACGCCAAGGAAAATTCAAAACGGAAAGTCCCCAATCAAATGGCAAAATCAAAAGCTCAAACACATCAAACGAATTGATAACAACTGTCATATTCCTGACATGGTACAGGCATTTTCTTGTGTAGAAAATGGTGGATTAAACCTGGTTTTATAGCTAGCTAAACTTCTCATTTGCATGTTTGGAGCACCGTACGTTTAATGCATGTTTGAGAAACGTAGTTTACACACGTTTATGGGAAACATGCGTCTGAAAACACATGGTAAACATATGGTGAAACGCATGTTTACCATACGTTTTCAAAAACCTGTGGTAAACATCCGTTGCATTTTTTGCTGTGTACGTCAAAATTTCTCTTTCGTTTTCTGTTGATACAGTTGTTTCAAAGTGTGGTCACATAATGTTTGATAGCATAAGAGAGAGGCGAAAGTTACCAAAGGGACATTCAAACTCATTGTGTATGGTAATTGAAAAACCAACCAAAACACAAAAAACTTAACATTGACCAATGAACCAAGAAAATGAGGTCAAAGTCAAGTAATACCTGCCGGAAAGACATATGCACCTTACATTTAATCCATACACCAAATATAGCTCATCTATTGCTATTAGTATTTGAAAAACAGACAAAAACACAATAAGTGAACACACGCTGACATTTCTCTCCTGTCTTTCTTATCATTGAATTTATGTTGAAAGCCTGTAACATGAAGGTTTTACTACAAGTATCAATTAAACTTGACATTATCAATGTTCTATGATAATGAGATCATGGTCAGATGAACCAGGCCAGACTGACATGTACATTTTACATTCATTTCATACACAAAACATAGTTGACCTATTGCTTATTGTGCTTGAAAAACAGAACAAAACACAAAAATATAACTTTGACTTATAAACCATGACAATGAGGTCCAAGTAAGATGAAACCTGCAAGACTGACATGTACCCCTAACAATCATTCCATACACCACATATTGTTGACCCACTATTTATAGTATCTGAGAAGCGAACCTAATCATTTTACTTTAACCTTGATCACTGATCCATGAAATGAGGTCGAGGTCAGGTGAACCCTGTCTTACAGACATGTAGACATTGCAAGGAATCCATATATTAAATATAGTTATCCTATTACTCATAATAAATGAGAAATTCACATACCAAAACAATTTGTTTTTTTCAATCAGTTGCTGAACATGAAAATGAATTCAAGGACAATAAACATATGATGGACGAAAACTTTGTAACAAGGTATCTGCATACAAGGTATGAAGCATCCAGGTCTTCTACATTCTGAAATATAAAGTTTTACACAAATAGTTTACGTGGCCGCTGCCACCAGCTAGTAATACCTATGTCTTGCACACTGTTGTCGCGAGACAAAAACATAACACTGACCAATGAACCATGAAAATAAGGTCATGGTCAGATGAAAACCTGCCAGACTGACATGCACCCTTTTACAAATATTATATACACCAAATATAGTTGACCTACTGCTTATGGTATTTGAGAAACGCACAAATCATGTAACTATAACCTTGATCACTGATCCATGAACTGAGGTTGTGGTCAAGTGAACTGTGTCTGACGGACATGTAGACATTGCAAGGAACCCATATATGAAATATAGTTATCCTATTACTCATAATAAGTGAAAAATTCACACGACAAAAAAACTCCAAAAAACATTTCATGCCGTCACTGAACCATGAAAATGAGGTCAAGGACAATGAACATATGACAGATGGAAAGCAATAATTTCTGAATTTACAGTAACTCATTGCTGCAAAAGATGTAACTATACAACCAGTCACTTTTAGCAACAACTGTATCAAAGATAAAGTACTGTCTTTTATTTGATAAACAAGCAAACTTCCTTCATAAATCAACAAGTAAACCCTTGCATTTTTTTAAATGACTGAAGCATAACTTGTTGCAAGAAAACATCCAAAAATATTAATCTTTGTATACCAAATTTATTCATTTTGTATGAAATAATTACTATTATACATAATAATATTAAATATATACATGTCTTTGTGTTAATTAAGCACAATTTGAAGACAAATTCTGAGGAAAGCATTTTCCACTGATATCACTTTAGTTCAAAAACAGATAAATGATGAAGGGAATTTCCTATCATAGTACAAACTGTTATACTCCTGTTTTATTGACTATTAAATCACCTTTTTTTAATAGAAGGTTGTCATAAATTTGAGCCATTTTAGTTATGTCCAATCAGGTGAAATTTGTAATGTAATAATTGGCAAGATTTTTTTCCTCTTACCTTTGAACTTTATTATTATGCAGATTCAACATTAAAAATACCTTTAATTAGCAAAGACAAATCTATTTCAGTATGTTTCTACTCTCATTTCATTTTTATATAAGTAAATGATAACTAGAGGCTCTAAAGAGCCTGTGTCGCTCACCTTGGTCTATGTGCATATTAAACAAAGGACACAGATGGATTCATGACAAAATTGTGTTTTGGTGATGGTGATGTGTTTGTAGATCTTACTTTACTGAACATGCTTGCTCCTTACTACTATCTCTATCTATAATGAACTTGGCCCAGTAATTACAGTGGAAAATACTTTGTAAAAATTTACAAAAATTTACAAAATTTATGAAAATTGTAAAAAATTGACTATAAAGGGCAATAACTCCTTAAGGGGTCAATTGACAATTTTGGTCATGTTGCCTTATTTGTAGATCTAACTTTGCTGTACATTATTGCTGTTTACAGTTTATCTCTATCATTATAATATTCAAGATAATAACCAAAAGCTGCAAAATTTTCTTAAAATTACCACTTCAGGGGCAGCAACCCAACAACATGTTGCCTGATTGGTCTGAAAATTTCAGGGCAGATACATCTTGACCTAATGAACAATTTTATTCTCATCAGATTTGCTCTAAATGCTTTGGTTTCAGAGATATGAGCCAAAAACTGCATTTTACCCTATGTACTAATTTTTAGCCATGTCAGCCATCTTGGTTCGCGAGCAGGGTCATCGGACACATTTTTTAAACTAGATACCCTAATGATGATTGTGGACAAGTTTGGTTAAATTTGTCTTAGTAGTTTCAGAGGAGAAGATTTTTGTAAAAAATTACAAAAATTTACGAAAAATGGTTAAAAATTGACTATAAAGGGCAATAACTCCTTAAGGGGTCAACTGACCATTTTGGTCATGTTGACTTATTTGTAGATCTTACTTTGCTGAACATTATTGCTGTTTACAGTTTATCTCTATCTATAATAATATTCAAGATAATAACCAAAAACGGCAAAATTTCCTTAAAATTACCAATTCAGGGGCAGCAACCCAACAACGGGTTGCCTGATTGGTCTGAAAATTTCAGGGCAGATAGATCTTGACCTAATGAACAATTTTATCCCATCAGATTTGCTCTAAATGCTTTGATTTCAGAGATATGAGCCAAAAACTGCATTTTACCCTATGTACTATTTTTTAGCCATGTCAGCCATCTTGGTTCGCGAGCAGGGTCATCGGACACATTTTTTAAACTAAATACCCTAATGATGATTATGGACAAGTTTGGTTAAATTTGTCTTAGTAGTTTCAGAGGAGAAGATTTTTGTAAAAGATTACAAAAATTTACGAAAAATGGTTAAAAATTGACTATAAAGGGCAATAACTCCTTAAGGGGTCAACTGACCATTTTGGTCATGTTGACTTATTTGTAGATCTTACTTTGCTGAACATTATTGCTGTTTACAGTTTATCTCTATCTATGATAATATTCAAGATAATAACCAAAAACGGCAAAATTTCCTTAAAATTACCAATTCAGGGGCAGCAACCCAACAACGGGTTGTCCGATTCATCTGAAAATTTCAGGGCAGATAGATCTTGACCTGATAAACAATTTACCCCATGTCTGATTTGCTCTTAATGCTTTGGTTTCAGAGATATATGCCAAAATCTACATTTTACCCCTATGTTCTATTTTTAGCCATGGCGGCCATCTTGGTTGGTTGGCCGGGTTACCGGACACATTTTTTAAACTAGATACCCCAATGATGATTGTGGCCAAGTTTGGTCAAATTTGGCCCAGTAGTTTCAGAGGAGAAGATTTTTGTAAAAGTTTACGGACGACGGACGACGGACGCAAAGTGATGAGAAAAGCTCACTTGACCTTTCAGGTCAGGTGAGCTAAAAAGTATAATATAAAATATTTAACTTCAAAATACATGTAAACATGAATCTTACGAAGAATTATTCAAGTTTAAATTTCTTAGTATATAAAAATATTAACAATATAATCCAATGTCCTTTTCAAAATATACAGTATCAAAATTGATCATGTGATATATATATATATGACTATGTACAATGTATGGCACAGCTGACAGTATGAGTAATGAATTAGGAATGAACACAAGTTCACAACCATCTTATTGTTTTCAGATCTGAGTTTACAAAATAATATAACATGAGGCAATAATACTGATGAATTTGTTCTTCTTTTTGTGGCAATGTTCTTTCATTTTTGCTCTTATAAAACTTAATTTTGAATTGGTTTATTTCAATGAGAATTTCAATACAATGATACAATTCTATTTGATGAAAAGATGTATTTTTTCAATATCTGGCACTTTACAATTTTTTTGTTCAAAATTTTAAAAAAAAGATGGATTTTGGTTTGTTTATCTAGTATATATTTAATTATAATTCATTTTATAAAATTTTAAAAGATATTGAAATTTTTCTCCAAAACACCAGTGTCATTGCCCCTTGATCTCAAACCTCTTACATACACAGAATGCCAATCTGACTCAATTTTATATTTCTTGGGAAAATCCTTATTTAATTAATCCACTATTATCTAAAATATATTTATTGTTCGTAAAGAGATACTTTGAATGAATAAGAAAATGACTTGCAGTAAGCAATTAAAAATGTATCATCAAAACCTCATGTTTAAACATTTTCAAAAGATTTCTTTACTTAACTGTAACCAAAATAATAATAAAAAGACAGAAATGAAATCTATAATGTTTCTCTAATTTTAAGACTAGAATTGTCAGCAGTGTTCAAAAATCCATATTTTTTTGAGTTATAAACTGGTTCCAAAATGCCCCTTTGTGAGGTACCAGTATACATCCTGGAAAATTACAGATCTACTTCTGTGGCTGAAGGAAGTGGGTATGGATGAACTGAAAAATACAAACATCATATTTATATAAAACACATATTATACTTTCACAAATCCATTTCTTCACAACTTGAATATAGGAAAACAATTACAGGTCCTTGCTGGAACTTCTTAATAATATGTGCTTGGCAAAGAAGCCAACCGTTTTGTTTTTATTATTATTTTTGGTTTGTTCCTGCAGGCTGGAGACCAAACTTACAACTTTCCTTCAGGTTCACATCCCACACACAAATGAGGATATTCTACATCTCAAGTGGATTTTGTTATTTCAATATTTCCAAGATGGGTTTGGGTAAAGTTACTTTTTAAATGTGCCAAAAATTTTAGAAGGCCCCTGTGTCGATTTGGATATTTAATTCTTTTATAATTGTTTAAGTGAAACAACATCTGAAGATGTGACTGTGCAGTAGACTAAAATATTTTAAAAATTCTTTTATCAAATGGAAAAAAGGAATTAACACTTTTGATTCAATATCTTAACAAAATCTGAGGTTACACTTGAATGGACAGGACTGGACTGCATGCTCCTAGTTAAGTTGTATGGTGAAAAGACTGATTCCATCTGCTTTGAAGTGCATGCCGTAAACATCAATGAGACAGCAACCTAACAAAAACATATTGATGAGAGGGACGAAAGATACCAGAGGGACAGTCAAACTCATAGATTGAAAACAAACTGACAACGCCATGGCGAAAAATAAAAAGACAAACAGACAAATAATAGTACAGATGACACAACATAGAAAACTAAAGACTAAGCAACACGAACCCCACCAAAAACTGGGGGCAATCTCATGTGCTCAGGAAGGGTAAGCAGATCCTGCTCCACATGTGGCACCCGTCGTGTTGCTTATGTTATTACAAATCCTGTAAATAGTCTAATTCGGTAGGTCACATTCGTGAAAAGGGAAGGGTATTGTAGTTACGACATAAGGAACATATCAGATATCATCTGTGATACGGTTATTCCATAACGGTCAACCAACTCGTGATGGCGTCCGTAAAATTTACGAAGGGATGATTTCAATGATGAGAGAGATAAAGATGATGTCATCAATGAATGATAAGCAAACTTTTCTGATAAGTTAATCTCTATATTAACATCAATTTTCTGGAGAAAAAAAAAGAAGTTGTAAATTAATTTATCAGAGACTAACAGATTCAATGTCCCAAAAGGGTGAGAAAACCTATCCTGCAATCCCATTTCGAAATGTGTTATGTACAGATCCTTTATATAAAAATTCCATGCTCAGTGTAGACACAAAGTCGTACTCGTTTGTGTTTTTAAGAACCCAATTAACAACTCTGAGATGTAGGTGGTCTGTTGCAAGGCAAAATTTCTACCTCTATCAAGCATGCCCTCATTTTCCAGTGTATGTCATAAGGAGTAGGAGCGGTAAGCACCTTGGAATATACATATTTTATAAAATTTCTTGAATTTTCCCAGGTTAACAACAACCTTTTAGTATACTCCTGATTGGGAAAGAACATGAACTTTAACCCATCAAAATATTGACTTGCATGTGTAGCAATTTAAATTGTAAGGTCCAGAAGTTGCTTTTGAAAAGTTTGGCAAGTTCAATATGAAAGGACTTGATAAGCTACAAAAAAATATGCCTCAATGATAAGTTGACATTAACATACTCTACCTGTATACATAAGAGGTCGTTCTTCATGCGGTGGTAAACCATATCCTCCTAAACATAATAAAAATCATTGTAAAATTAATATACATTCAGATATAATACATCAAATGTGACCATTGTGTGTGTTCAGCATACAAAAAATTTCTTTTCAACGTTCTTTCCTCGTTCTTTCAAATTTTCTTGAATAGATAATTTTCAATTGTAATTTGAGCAAGAGTTATTTTCCCTTTGTTGCCATGTTCGAGGTCAACATGGATAATTTTTTTCCTATTAATCAACCAAACTCAACTTGTTTTACTGAACATGATACTTTAGACCTAATTCAATTTTTTCATAAGTGTAATGTAATAATATTGATAGAAAAGGTCATATCTCAAAATGTTATTTCAAATTTCAGCATTTTTTTTTTTAACAAACAAATATCTAATTTTCAATTTTTTTAAACTTTTTATCTGTTCTATATTTTTTTTAAATGAAGAACATTGACCCATGGGTCCTTTATTCTAAATAAAAACTTCCATTTTGGGGATTTACTAGACAGTATTATTTATACTAGGTCATAGTTCATCAAACAAGATTTTTAGAAAATAGTGTAAATTTTTACAAGTGTTACCCAATTTACAAGTTACATATTCTAAAAAGTTTGGAAAAGAAGAATTTTACTGAATACCCGTTCAATAATTCATTGTTACATGATCTTCAAACAAGAAACAATTTCACTTTACTTAAAAGAATAAATAATCAATCAACATTATAAATATATAATATATGAAGTCTGCAATTTCTTCCACTATCTAACTAAAAAAGCATCCAGTATTTCCTTGTATACTATGTGACAAAAGAAATGCAACACTAGGATTTTGGAAGTCTCAAAGTTTATATTTTTTTTAATTTAGAGGCAAATTCAAATCAATGATTTTCATTCCTATATTACACAGAGAATTATATTATTGAACTAATTTTCTGGTAATTTGTTTTATCTTCCTTGGAAAAAATAGCGAAAAATTCAAACATAAACATTGTTTTTTACCATGTTTACTTTAAATGGTAGAGTCAATAATTGACTCAATATTAATGTTAATGAATGTTTTAGTATCAATACTTCAACATCTCAGTAAAATACTAGAACCTAGCCTAGGTGTGTTGCATTTCTATGGAAATTTAGTATAAAGTAAAAGTACACATAATCTCTAAACATATAAATTTTTCTTCCAAAAAAAAAAAAAACATTTCCAAATTATGATCAAACTTTTCTTCCAAAATTAAACATTTCAGAATTATGATCAATTACAATGAAATTGATGAAATGTAATAATATTTTCAACATGTCTTTTGTATGTGTACTTTTATGTAAAAAAAGACTTTCTCATGCAAATAATTGAACGAACATGCAATCAAAATGAAATCAGATGGAAAGGTACATAACTCTAGTCAAACTTTATCATTAACGGGATTGCTTCTCAGGGATGGTGCGGTGTGAACCTTCATGTACATGTAGTATCATTTCAAATAAATATGTCAATTTCTGATTACACAAATAAGTATCATAAAACAGTGGAATAATATCGCTATCCGGGTAAAATAAAGAAGATGTGGAGGGGAATTTTTATACCCCTATTCTGCTTGTTAAAAATCCTGGATTGACCATATATTTTTATACCATATTGATAAGTATCCTCTTGGAATCCTTCTGACATGCCTCCTGTTTATCGTCTTAAAAAATGTTATGCTTTATTTTTTAAACTGTTTTCAATATATCGTAGTTTAATTAAACAGCATTTTCAACTTATAGCTTATGGTGCCTTATAAGCTTTTAGTCGGTGCATTTTCAATTTTCAATAATGGATCCAGAAAATTGAAAAAGACGAACACTTAAAAAAAATGAAAAAGATATAATTTTTATGCATTGACCATATTTTCTCATTCACAAGGGGTCCCAATACCAAATCCACATCCACCACTGGACTAGCTTTTACTTTGCTGTTACATTCATAGTTATTTCCTTATTTTGTCATTAAAATTTAGGACTTAAAAATGTAAATTTATTATAACAAAAATAATCTCTCACCAATGTCCATACTTTGAATACATTTTAAAGATATATAGGAAACACAGAGATTAATAGGGTTGTGTATTAAATGTATGTATAATCCATGCAACATGTATACAGGTTACCGTACACATCAACATTATATTTCACAAATGTAACATAACACAACACGCTTTGGATATGAGCACCTTGCATTTATTTCCAACTTTGTTCACCACAATAAATGCATGCATTCAATATATGGGTAGAATATAAACCATTTCTATATCATTCTTTACTTTCATATACCGGTACATCATGTACAGCTTAGCCATGTTTTCTTATCATAAATGGTTCCTCTTAAACTGATCTAATCATAAACTTTAACATGAAAACAATACAGACATTTCAAAGTTGTAAGACCTATAATGACCGAGGCCAGTCTGAAGTGGCAGGGTCAAATAATCTCAAAGGCTATGAGATGTGCCAAAGTTATACAACTGCATATAAAAACATTGAATAATAATTTATTACAAGTGGTTCAACTTAAACTGACCTAATCATAAACTTTAACATGTAAACTATGCACAAGTTTTAAGGTCAATAGACCATGCCTAATAGAACAGGGACAAATAATCTCTGATGAAATGAGATGTTCCAATGCTTAAACAACTACATACCAAATATCACTGACTTACCATACATGGTTCCCTTAAGGGTACAACCATTTAACTTTAAAGGGTTACGGTTTTTTTCCTTAAAAAATATTCTGATCCCCAATTTGATGAAAAAAATATTGTGGTCAAGCAGATGACAAAACAAAATATTCTGAATCCAGATTTTCCTCATACCTTTAATACAGTGTTAAATTTAAAAAAAAATAATTTGATTGATATCGTCGAAAAACTAAAAAAAAAAATGTTTGCGCTTTGCAAAAATCCAAACCCCCTCCCCCCCCCCACCCTTGAAGTTAAATGGTTGCTTCCTAAACTGACCTAAACACAAAATTTAACAAATTGTTGACCCTGCCCTCAGTAACAGCACATTAAAGTTTAGCCTTTTTTTCAACTCATTCAAGGCAAGACAAAAAAATAAATTGTTCCTCCTTATCAAAGAATCTGAGGGTTCAAATACATTCTTTTTTTGTAAATATACATGTTTTACACTTTTATGCAAATGATTGCCCGTTGCGTGCATTTTTTACATTGATTCTATGCCATGTTCATCTAGTGTTAAGAACAATTATCCAAATCGATTACATATTTCAGTGTATCTAAGTCATAATATGTTATATTGTAAAAATCTCAATAAAATATAATACTGTAAACCAACTTATTGTCGCAAGCGATTTATTTTTGTGACTTTCTTGAGAGAAAAATAACGCGAATATAAATCGTCATGAATATGTAAAACTTGGATCTTTCCTTTTTTAACTTCATCAAGCAAATTTGAAAATCACGAAATTAAATCGGCGCTAAATGGGCTAGAAAGGGCTAAACGCGAAATAAAGTATCCACCAAAATAAGTTGGTTTACAGTTTGATTTGGATTTATTTACAATTTTAAGTGAAATATATATAAATTTGTGATTAATATTTACAGTACAACCAGTTAAAAATCCTTCATGCTGGTGTTATGTGAACCATTGTGAAACTGAATGATTGACAATCACAAGCATTACATCTTCACAGTGAAAAATCAACACCAAGAGTGATGTGATAACTGGATCACCTTATACTAACATATATATATTTATTCATTTTTATTATTATTATTAGATGAACATAAATGCTGACATTAACATACATTTGTGCATCATGATTATGTAGAATTTGTCACGTTAGGGGTATATCTTAACAGTTCAAAATTTGGACCTGAAACTGGTTAAATGTTTTGTTTTTCCTAGGTCTATAACTGAAAAGACAATTATGCTCCTCCAAAAACTGTTCAGGGGGGGGGGGGGGGTATACAGAAAAAAGGTGTTACTATATGTATGTAAAAAAATGTATTCGAAGCACTTATAAAATATTTAATCCTGTTTTTTTTATAATGTTGACATCATCTAGATTATCTCCCCTTCTTCCATTTTCTGTAAATCAATGTTTATTTGCCATTTATAACATTTGTTCAAATCTTCCTTAATATTCCTATTTTTTTAATGATTATTCCATTTAACTAAAAGTGGGATATCTATGGTTTTTTGTCAATTTAATGTACACATAATTACAGGGGAAGTTTCGTGTTTGTAGAGATATTTCATACTTCCCTTACTACACACTCACCCACATTCATTTAAAGGAAAAGACTATTATGTAAAGTACAGTGTTGTTGTCATTAATCAGATAAAGAATTTCAATAGTGAATGTATACCAGTACAATCATGACAGTATAAGATGTGGCCAGTATAAAAATAACGTCAATTTCAGGTCCAAATTACCTGAACTGTAGTGATGAACTATAATGACAGAAAGATGTGTGAAAGAGAGGTAACTAATTATAAAGATGTCTTTATTTAGACGAAAAGTTTGCTGCTTAAAATGTTATTACGATTTCAAAAATACTTCTTGTTGTGAATTTGAAACCAGATAAAACAATGTCAAAATTCAAGGGAGATAAAAATTTATGCTTCTGAAAATATTTATATAATTTCATGGCATACTTTTTTTTTGCAATAAAATGATTTTTTTTAGTGCATTTGAAAAGCATGTGTAAGCCTAAACAAAGACAATACTATAATCTAAGTGATAATTCTTGGATATATAAAACCTAACTCTAGTCACACCTTGTCATGTCTCTCTGATAACTGCTTATAGTTAGGCCAAAAGGCAGTTCAATTAAATTTGCCATAGCCTATCAAAAGCCTTAATTATAGTTAGGCCAAAAGGCAGTTCAGTTATCTTTGCCATAGCCTGTCAAAAGATTAACATTTTGCTTTTTTTTTCAAAATAACAAATGTCCAGGCAACCTCTTGAGAGATCTTCACACTATTTAAATATAAGATGCAATATTTTATCTTGTTTAAAGATGATAGTTACTATGGCAAACAAAATTATCTTTAGTTTTCGCCTCTGAATACATTTTTACGTGAACTAAAAGCCAAAGGTCAGACATTCTACCATACTTCTAAAGACAGTTGGAGGTAATAAAAGAATTCAGCATTACTTGATTATGACCTAATTTGAAATCCATTATTTTTCAGTTATTTTATAACTCAAATACTGTATGTAAACAGTTCTACACCCACAATCAATGTCAATTTGTATGTAAAAAGTTAATATACCCACTACCATGACTACTGTGAAATCGTATGTCACTCAAAAATTAGGGTTCAGGAAATAGTGCTTTGAGGCAGAAAATCGTATCAAGGCAGTCAGTTTTCATTGCCGGAGGAAGCCACTATTCTATGGAAGGAAAACTGGCATTCATTGTTACATGTAGTTCAGATTAGAGGAGGAAACCAGAATTCCACAGAGAACCACAGATCTATGAAAGAAAAACTGTCAATCCTTGTCAAATTAGATCTCTAAGTCATAGACACCTCCCCACCAATAGGGTTTGATCTTACAATCTCATAGATGACAGACTAGTGAATACTGTAGATGACTCAGCCACAGAGTCCCCAATTTAACTCAGACAAACACAAATGTGTTGTAAATTATCAAAATAGTGGTGGGAAATCAGCAAAATTCATGCCAACTTTACAGAAGGGTTAATATATGGTTTTAAAACTTATTTGTTGAATTTCTTTCTTTTCAAACAAATCAAATCTAAATTGATTTTAATCATAATGAATTGTGAATAATTGATCATGAACTCATAATCAACATGATTAAAGAAGGTGTCTGTGAGAGAAAAAAATAATGAAAAACAGGAATATACAGAGAAATAATAAGCAATAAGAAATTAATAGACTTAATGTATACTAATAAGTGCAAGATTGCTACTTAAAATGTTTTAAATTCATTTCCTCATTTAAATCTTTACATTCTCCTTTTGATAGAATCATCTCGTTATTCCTACCCAAAAATGAAAATCATGTCATGAGCCACTGGTTAAATAACAATTGCAAATGAGGTTATATTCAATTTATCTATAATTGCAACACCACTATTATACAGGATCAAAATACATTTGCTAAACTATCTGAAACAAAGAGAAAAGTATATTTATACTCAAACACAATATAAAATGCAAAGAAAATGATGAAATGAAAAAAGCACAAGCAAAGGGGGGATAATTTTAGCAGACATGACAAAAACGTTGACTAGAGTTTAAGTACCTTGACAGATGAAGCAATGAAGGTAGCAACAGCATTGAAAGGTCAAAGTAGAAATTCACCAGGTTGTCGGTCGTAGCCCTTGTTAGCATAATACGGGTAACCAGGTATAGGACTGGTTCCCTCGTCTGGCTTCTCTCTCAACATCTGGTACCGAATGTGGCTAAGACGGTTGCAGGATGCAAACATCTGTATGACTACACAAATGGCAGAGACGAGAGAGAACAAAGCTGCAGCTGCTGCAAAGTAGAATCCCCAGTTGAATTCTATCTTAGGATAGGCTTCTAAGACTTTGTAGTAACCAAAACGGTTTGGGATGGCATCCTTGACTGGGAGGTCCTGCCACATGGCCTGGTCATCAACAAGTAATTGCATGACACAAAGTATAACTCCTAAAACTTGACATAAAGCTGAAATAAAAGTAATTCAAATTTATGTATAACTTTAGCTATTATTTCAAGGGTCTTTTACAGCTTCCCATACAGTATAGTTTTTGCTCATCATTAAAGGTATGGTAAACTTAACTTGTTATCCTTCTTTTTATGTTCTACGGTGGATAGTAGTGACCCTGAGTGGTCTCATTGGCAATCATACAACATCTCCTTACCGGCTTAGTTTTAGGTAAATGATATGCCAACATGAAATCGCCTTACTTTTGTATAAATAATAAGCTGACATGACAAAACGAAGCAAAAATATTAATTCAATATTCATACAGTAAGAATATAGTTAAAACTTGAAATATTAATAGTCAAGGTAATGAATCACATTTCTGTATTATCTTCCTCTACATTAACCATTACAAAGTTTGGTATGTACAGCAAATAATCAATTATATTTCATCAATGGTGAGAAACGTTTAGACTAAGACATATTTATATGTTAAATAATTCTCATGAACAATGATTCTACTTTTGTCTACTTTCACTTTCAACCAGAAATTAGATTGTGAATATTTCAGAACTGAAACAACTTTAAAGGCTAGCATATAATTAATTTCTTTTTTTTATTTTTCTTATACAGGAAAGTTCTATATATCGTAGGTTTTTAGAGGATCAATTGATTGATTGTGGGTTGCTTATTGTCTATGTTGTCCAGTGGCAAATATTGTATGCATGTTCAGGAAAAGTTTTTTAGAAGACAATCAGGAATATGATGATCAGATACTAATCTTGTGTAATTTCACCTTACATACCTATTGCAACAGTAGCACCAGCTAAAGCCATCTCTGCAGAAACAACGGTCTTGTCACGTGTCAGTAACAATATGGCTGAGGCTGTGCATACCAATATACCAATGGTACCAACCAGGTATAGCAACTGGGCAAATTTCAAATAATCTGGAAGAAATATAAAATATTTTTTATTTCAATCTTATTGACTTGAGTCAATTTTGAGTGTCTATCAAAGATGGATGTTTTTGCACTGTAATTTTATAGGGAACAAGCCAAATCAACACTTGGTTAATTCAGCACCTATAGAAAAAGTCAAATCGGCACCTGGTCAAATCAGCACCTATTTAAAGTTATTTCGGCATTTGGTTAGTGAATTTGGCACCAAATATATTTTATTAATTGAGTTTGATTGGGTAACTCTATCATTAAAATAAAATGCTCCGCTGGGCACAGCTTGATACGACCGCAGAGGTCAAACCCTGAACAGTTAGGGCAAGTATGGACACAACATTCAAGCTTGATACAGCACTGAATTTGGATTGTGATTAAATACTTGACACAGCATAGGTTTCTGACACAGTATGAATGTGGTCTAAGAACTTAAAAATTTTTAATTTACCTATTCAAACCATATCATTATTATTTGCTTTTATATATAAATCAGAAATAACCAATTTAAAATGGAAATTTTAAAGAAAAAAAAATCCCCCCCCCCCAATTTTTTGAACCCCCTTATAATTCATCACCCCCAAACTCAATCCCAGCCTTCCCCTTGTGGTATGGTACCTTGCAGTACAATTTCAGAGAGATCCATACACTTGAACACAAGTTATTGTCTGGAAACTAGAAAAATGCTTGTTTTTTGGCCCCTTTTTTGCCCCAAATTCCTAAACATTTAGGGCAATTACCCCCAAACTCAAACCCAGCTTTCCCTTTGTGATATGGAACCTTGTAGTACAATTTCATAAAGATCCATACACTTACACACAATTTTTTGTCCTGAAACTAGAAAAATGCTTGTTTTTTGCCCCTTTTTGGTCCCTTATTCCTAAAATCTTGAGGCAATTACCCCCAAAATCGATCCCAGCCTTCCCTTTGTGGTATGGTACCTTGCAGTACAATTTCAGAGAGATCCATACACTTGAACACAAGTTATTGTCTGGAAACTAGAAAAATGCTTGTTTTTTGGCCCCTTTTTTGCCCCAAATTCCTAAACATTTAGGGCAATTACCCCCAAACTCAAACCCAGCTTTCCCTTTGTGATATGGAACCTTGTAGTACAATTTCGTAAAGATCCATACACTTACACACAATTTATTGTCCTGAAACTAGAAAAATGCTTGTTTTTTGCCCCTTTTTGGTCCCTTATTCCTAAAATCTTGAGGCAATTACCCCCAAAATCGATCCCAGCCTTCCCTTTGTGGTATGGTACCTTGCAGTACAATTTCAGAGAGATCCATACACTGGAACACAAGTTATTGTCTGGAAACTAGAAAAATGCTTATTTTTTGCCCCTTTTTGGCCCCTTATTCCTGAACGTTTTGGGCAATTACCCCCAAACTCAATTCCAGCTTTCCCTTTGTGATATGGAACCTTGTAGTACAATTTCAAAAAGATCCATGGACTTACACACAAGTTATTGTCATGAAACTACAAAAATGCTTGTTTTTTGCCCCTTTTTGGTCCCTTATTCCTAAAATTTTGAGGCAATTACCCCCAAAATCAATCCAAGCATTCCCTTTGTGATATGGAACCTTGCAGTACAATTTCAGAGAGATCCATACACTTGAACACAAGTTATTGTCTGGAAACTAGAAAAATGCTTATTTTTTGCCCCTTATTCCTAAATGATTTGGGCAATTACCCCAAAACTCAATTCCAGCTTTCCCTTTGTGATATGGAACCTTGTAGTACAATTTCAGAAAGATCCATAGACTTACACACAAGTTATTGTCATGAAACTAGAAAAATGCTTGTTTTTTGCCCCTTTTTTGGCCCCTTATTCCTAAAATTTTGAGGCAATTACCCCGAAAATCAATCCAAGCATTCCCTTTGTGATATGGAACCTTGTGGTACAATGTCAGAGAGATCCATACACTAACACACAAGTTATGTCTGGAAGTTACAAAAATGCTAATTTTTGGCCCCTCATTCCTTAACTGTTGGTACCATAACCCCCAAAATCAATCCCAACCTTCCTTTTGTGGTATTGAACCTTATGGTAAAATTTCATAGAGATCCATTCACTTAAACTAAAGTTAGAGTGCGAAAACCAATGTGTCTTCGGACTACGACGCTGGACGACTACGCCAACGTCATACCAATATACGACCGCAAAATTTTTTTGTGGTCGTATAAAAATTATGGTATTAATTATAAACAATAACACACTTGTTGTTTTAATCATTTTCATATAGTTTTTGATGTTTCATAATGCAAATGACTTAGAATAACCAAAGAATCCATAACCCAAGCTAGTCTTTCTTTAAACCATATAATTTTATGAGGATAATCAGTGTAATGTAAATTGTTTTTCTGCATTTCCTGTCGACTTATATAAAATCTTACTAGGTATATAAATCTTTGATAAAATGAATAACACTGGCACCAATTTTGTATGTTTACTAGCAATGTACAGTTGTGATGAAATGGAAGTTCCTTGATAAGATACGTTCCAGTAGGAACAGATATTATGGCATTGTTTATAACTAAGTTCCCATTGGAACTTCTGTCATGTGTCACAAATATCCGGTGATACCTTGAGCCAAATATATCTTAAAAAATATGCAAAAAAAATGGAGTCTTCAATAGTTTACTTGCAAAACATATTATTAATCACGGTGCCGAAATAACTACCTTGTGTGCCGAATTAAGCAGGTCCCGATTTGAGGTATCGGGTCCGTTCTTGCCCAAAACACGTTCGCACCCTACACATTTGCACCCCACACGTTCGCACCCTACACAATCACACCCTTTTTTTAATTCAAAAACTTGATAAATTTTTAGATGTTTTGTAGATGTTTATATCAAAATATTTGTATTTTCATAAATAAAAATTTGGGAATTTTCAAATGAAATATTGTTTTAAATTGATTTGATGATTAATTATTAAATGTTAATTATGTATGGTTACTGCTCATTGGTATTTATACACAGCCTAATTTGGTGTTATTGTTGAGTGTTTGAAAATCATGATTGTTGTCATGGTTGTTTTAACTTGCTTTGATGTAAATACTGCATGTATTTAACTTGGTATGAGTAAAACTTTGAAGATTTTAAATAAAAAACATGAAAGATAATTGTTTTTAACAGCTTGGCTCCTTTGATCTCATGTGTGTCAGAATCTCATTTTATTCATAAACAATGAAAAAAAATATTTATAGCAATACACTATCCAAAACATGATTACGAATTATTCAACACATAAAAAAAACGTTGTCAGAATCCCAATTCCTTTTGAAACAATGAAAAAGAAATATTTATAACATGATACACTAACCAAAACATGATTAAGATTTTATCAATACATAAAAAAATGTTGTCAGAATCTCTTTATTTAGAAACAATGGAAAAAAATAATTTATATATATATTATATATATATAGATACAAGTCTAAATTGAAAACAACGTTCAAACCTATGATTGCGTTGGATAAAACCGCAATTTTTATACATATAGAACAATACACTTACCTAAACATGATTAAGATTTACATGATATATGCAACACTTTAAAAAAACGTCAGAATCTCACTATATTTAGAAACAATGAAAAAAATATATTTATAGCGATACACTTAACATGCTTACCATTTATTCAACACCAAAATAACGTTGTCAGATTTGCACTTTATTTACTCATGTTACTAGAAACAATGAAAAAAATATTTATAACAATACACCTACATGTACCAACACATGATTAAAAATTATTCAACACAAAAATAAAATACAGGCAGAGCTCCAGATAAGCTGCGTATTTGCGTGATCACGCAATAAAAATAATTAAAAACCCAATGCAATTGCCCATTGCAGGGTTCAATAACCCAATTAGTTCAAAGGAAAACCCAATTATATGCCAAAAACATGGGTTCTTAACGCTTTTATTCGCTATCGTTTGCGTTATTGACCCTTTCTTGATTACAGTCGTCGCGTAAATCTATTTTTATAATATTTATAATTGGAAATGTCCTTTCGTTCTAAAAATAGAGCCCTGCATCAAGTAGCTGTAATGGGTCCCTGTTGGAATTTTCCGTTGCTCAAAAGGTACACGTGTTTATGAAAACATTTCGATCTTCTCGGCGTTTATCCAATTAGCGTGTGACATGCTGTCATATTTTTTCGAATTGCTCGGGCATTATCATAACATAAATGAATTAAAACGAAAGTAAATGTCCGGTAAAAATATTGAATAGAAGCATGTTTTCGGCTTCTTTTTGATAGCTGAGGGAAAGTTATGATGATAACAAGACTCAGCTAGTGATTTTAGGAAGCGGCAATTGAACGCACGGGCGTGTTTGCGTACCATAACGAGAACATTGCTAGAGCGATAAACACGGGGTTCCGTCAAAAAAAGAAATCAATAATGGAAAAAGTGAAAGGCCAAATCAATTATGACATGATATATAGTTTGAAAGCATCGGAAACCACAAGTTCTGATATGGGACAACTTAACCCAGATTTATGTAAATTGAATTAAACGAAAACAGTTTATATATTATTTTTTTTCATTTTAGTTGATGAGTGAATACACATATCCGTTTTTTTACGTCAATGCAGCTTGACACTTTCTTTGTTTTTGGTCTAATTTGTTCTAGATGCTTAAGATAGTTGTTTTATTGGCAAGTGCAGTATAACATTGTCATTTATTTGCTTGATGTTGCAGAATTATTTGTAAATTTAAGTTGAATGTGGTCTCCGTCATTATAAACCTCAAGGTTTTGGGGGTATATCTTAAATCTGGAAACTACTTTTTATTTTTATTAAAAAGTAGATCTGGCAAATAGGTGAAAGGACTGGCAAAACTTTCTTACAGCACCTAAATTTCACATAAATTACACAAAAATCTAAACACTTAGCCACACCTACCCCAACTATAATTAAACTGTAGGGTGATCATATGGGATCTAGAAAGGCAATTAGTTCCTGTCCAACTAGTGACACCAGCTGCAGTTTACATAAGTTTTGAGAAAATACAAAACTGACAGAAACGGTACACAAATTAAATGTACAATTGCTCGTCAGTGAATAAACCAAATAAAACAGCTAGCACATATTCTACAAAGAAAGAAACACATTTAAGATGGAAACACATCTGGGGTTGATATAATGTGATTATAACATGCCTAAATATTCAATATTGTGTTGATGAAAAAACCCAATACATTAAGGAGCTTGGTGGTGAAAAACCCAATTTGATATTTGCTTGAGGGGTGAATTGGAATTGATAATGCAATTAAAAAACTTTATCACCCAATTACATAAAAAAATGGTGGGTAAAAACCCCAATTTGTGAATTCTTATCTGGAGCTCTGTACAGGGGCTCTTTTCACAAAAAATCTTACGACTAAAATTGATCGTAAGTTATACTGTTATGTTCATGACTTAAGAGTGTTTTTACTCGTAAGATATTTTGTGAAAAGAGTCGCTGGTCGTCAGAATCTCACTTTATTTAAAAACAATGAAAAAATGAGTTTATTAAGCAATACATTTACCATGACTCCAAAAAAAAACCTTGCCAGAATCTCACTTTATTTAGAAACAATGAAAAAATATATATTTATAGCAATACACTTACCAAAACTTGTTTACAAATTATTAAACACAAAACCAATAAAAATTGGGCGCGAACGTGTAGGGTGCGAACGTGTAGGGTGCGAAAGTGAAAGGGGGGCGAACGTGATTGGGCGCAAACGGACCCGGATTCCTGATTTGACCAGGTGCCGATTTAACTAGAATTTATTTTATATCCAAGTTATAATCCTGTAAAAAAGTGAGGGTATACATTTGTGTACCTGGCATGAGCTGGACACTTGATGCTTTATCTATCATCAATAAATTGATAAATCTGTCTTTGTCCATGAAGTACAGTCCAGTATCAATTTCAATGTCGTTGGGCTTTACCTCGTCTCCAAACACCTGGTTGTACAGTGTCAACTTGAACCAGAAGGGCAGCAAACAGCTGACGATAGACACCAGCGAAGAAAACACCAACAATAGACCGGAGATGAGCAGGAAGCCCGAACTAAATACATTATGGAGGCATTCCCCGATCACCTCGCCTGGACTTCTAGATCTGTAACTGTTTTGTTTATTCTGATACATTGTTTTCTTCAAATTTTGATTTCCGGTTTCAGTAAACTTTTGGGAAAGTGTTTTCCCGTCAACTGTCTTATATGCTAACACTCAAAGTCAATTTTTTTCCTTGGAGTTATGGAAAAATAATCCAATGGTTGTTTAGATTCGAATAAAATCTAACGAAAACTGCATTTCCGCATTCATCACATCTTGGCGTCCACCATTTGCATTTCTCACCTGCCACAGGTAAGTAGTTAACTGTTACCTGCTGATTTGAATTTTATTAGGTAACAGTTTCACGAAATCCCTATGAACCGAAAAGGATAGACCTTTATGAAATACTAACGGACGTTATTTCAGATTAAATAAGAGTTACATTTCTTTGATAATAAAGATGCGTAAAAAAGTATTAACAAAAATAGTGAATAAAACCGTGAAAGACTACCAACCAACTGTCAGTCTGTCATCTATCATTGTTTACAACGTGCTCTGAGACAGTTATTTTCTTCCCAGGTGAGCTTGTTGAAAAAGTTTGGAGTGTTCTTCATATCATGCTGATTGCAAAATGAATGGTACAGATTTTATTGTTTACATTACTGTTTGACGAAAATGCAAAAAAAAATCTTCTTTATTTTTTTTTAATGGGACATGGTTTTTTTTTCGGGGAGCAAATACTTGTCTTCGGCTTGAATTGAAACAAAACCTTTTTTCAATAACATACAGGATTTTGTTTGATGATTCAATGTAAAATATGTTTTCCCTAATTTTCAATGGAAACGATTTTTTGTTTACTTTCCTACTGAAGCAAATCACTTTTTCAATTCTTTTAAAACTTAAATTATTTATTTCAAAAAAAAAAAAATGATCCCAAATGTACTAGAGTATGTACTAGGCCTACAATTATAGAACAAGTGATATTTGTTTCCAATTAATAACAAAGGCATGCGTCATTTTAATCGAGGATAACATTACTATCAAGATAAGACTTAATAAATAGGCTGCAGTCCTTTTGCGACAATTGCTATTTCTAAGATATATGAACCGTAAATAATTTTTGCCAAATTTTATTTTTTAAGGGTGTCAATTGCTCAAGAATACGGATTCACCACAAGCTCTTGGAGAATCCCTTATTTTTTCCATTTTGTTTTGTGCTCTCATTTTTTTTTTTTTTTTTTTTTTTTGGAAATACGATATTACATTAGCAGTAGTTTGAATATATGCTGTCCCTCTTTCCTTATTTTAGGATAGTTGGGCATCATATGCACTACTGCTATATTGTTATGTAGTATTGATAAGAGCAACAATATACTATGATCTACTATTATTCACCTGGGGGAACGGGCATGGGTTCATTTCTCAGAACAAACACTTTTCGACTTTGATAAAAAAAAAAAAAAAACAATTTTTTTTCCAATACCACAGAAACTACCAAAATTTTTGTTAAAGCTAAATGTTGTATTTATCATTCTTTTCCAAATTTTCTATGGAACAACCTTTTTCACTTTCTTTTTGAAACCATTTTTTCCCAGAAGTTTGGAATCAAAAGATTTATTCTTAAAACCCCATTCCTCCACAAAAGATGAATATTTGGTGCCTGACAAATCGGAATTGAGACCTAAAATGTGAAGTCATCCCCTCCTCTCCCTTTCAAAAGAATGAAAATTCAGCCTGTTTGGCAAGTTTTGCTGTAAACTTCCATGGGTTTATTTTCGATACTTTTATTAATAACTTGGTGAAACTTAACCATTTTGCCACATTGACACATTCGGCTCGGAGACATTTTGTCACGTGGACGAATTCGAGTTTGAGAAATTTTGTCATGTAGAAACATTCGGATCGTAGACAATTTGGTAGGGGGACACATTCGGATCGGAGACATTTTTGTAGGTGACACATTCGGACCTGACAAGGTCCAAAGAAATTCCTAGCATGGATTTTTTTTCAAAATTTATATAAAAAAAAATAATAATCTATGTACCCGTGCAGACACGGGTGCAACATTTTCTTTATAGCCCCGCTGGCGAAAAATGAGTAGTTTTATTTCGCATGTACATGTATATGGTGCACCAAATTGATTTCGGTATCTTGCATTTTTTCAATAGAACGAAGAAACGTTCACTCTTTTCGTCTAGTACCAATGTTTCTATCAAGTTTAATGTAATGCTGACTGAACAAAAGAAAAAAATATATTTACAGCAAAATATTTTTATACTAAACACTACAAACTGTGACATTTTTATACAAAGTTACGATATAACCCCAAATTATTTACTTGTAAATTAAATAGTAATTTTGATAAAATTACATATATTTGTGTAATCGTAATATATTTTATTAGATCACACATGACTGAAATTTAGCACTTGAAAATTCAAACATAGTTTATTATACAAAATATCAACACAAAGCTTTTTCATATTGTATCGAGTTCGTTTTAATTAGTGTAAATGCACCAATTTAAAATGAAATAAATGCCTTAATTCATTACTGCAAGACTGTTACAGGATTCGTCCATTGGTACATTTTCCAATTTTAATCTATTTGTGTACATTATTTACCAGCAGACATGGTTTGGTTTAAATCTTGATTAAACTTGATTTTATTGGTGAATGGATATATGTATGTCTTACGTTCATCTAGGTCAATAATTACTGGTTGTTTCGTAATGTCTATATAAAATGTATGAACCGTTTTTTAATAAAGAATTACATGTCCGCAAGAGGTCAACACTAGAGTAATTTTTGGTAATCAAGGCCATTTAGACTGAAATTTATAGGCTACTTTTGGTACATATCTCATATCTCATATTTTTGTGCCCATTCTACGTCATGAGGCTTAAATCATCAGATCGGCGACACGAAGCATAGATATAAACTAACAAAAAGACACAAATTACCGATCAAATATATAGTGCACGCACTTACTGAAAGCTAGTATTAAAGCCAATCAAAAGCAAGCAACTGAAGTTGGCTATTCAAGATTTTGGATTCATTGTTACCCTGGTTGTAGAACATGGGCTTAGTACAGTTTGCTTTATCTTATCTGTTACAAATTAAGACCTTCCATTGACTTGGTAGATGCCGAATCTGAAGCTGAATCAGTTATTGCCAGCCTTCGTCGAATAAGACAGGATGACACAGTCTGGCAAGAGTTATGTAGGGACACCCTCAAAGTCGCAGAAAAGCATAATGTACTACCGAGCAAACCAAGGACGGCAGGCAGACAACAGCATCAGGATAATATGCCAGCTTATTGGCGACGATCATTATATTGCCAATTGCTCGACCATATTTTAAATGAAATTGAAACAAGCTAGACGTGTCGTTCCCAAAGAAAGGTTTCTTGCTCAATACTTAATTCCTTCAAAACTTGCCTCTCTCACGCAAGAAACAGAACTTCAGGTTTTTTGCTATTTGCAAGAGGTCATCTAACTGAATTTTTGTTTACAGCATATAGGGCAGACATGGTCAGGTGGAAATGCAAATGGCAATATGTTGCTTATTAGCCTAGTACACTGATAGACACTCTAAAGCACACAAAACCTGAATTGTACCCTGACGTTTACAGAGCTTTAAAGGTTTTACTGCCTATACCAGAGGCGGATTTAGAGGGGGCAGGGTGCCCTGGCCCCCTTTTGTGTATGCCAGTAACATCTGCTACTGCAGAGCTCCTTCAGTGCTCTAAAACGAACCTACCGTCGATCAACGATGGTGGAGGAAAGTCATTGATGCATGTCCATCTGGAAATTCAACTAGATATTGACCAGGCCAATTACACTTTTGCTTCGGATGGAAACATTAAAATTCAACTTCAATCTATTCCCTTACTAGTAGGTAGTTAGATGTAAAATTAAAGAAAAAGTACACAAGTGGATAAGCAATACAAGTTTAAAAAAACTATAAAAGTCCACTACCGTGAGACGTGTTCAGCTGAAGGATTCATAAATATTTATACAAATAGTATGACACTCCCCTTTACATGGAACCTCTTTGCTACCGGACGTTACTGTGTATCCATGAATCCGAAACATTTTGGTTTTAGTCCTGTTTCTTAATTATACACTCGAACGTAACTGTGCATTTGCATCCCAAACAGCAACTTACAATTTGGTTTTCGTCGCCGGTGTTTCTTTATTACACACACCATGTAGGGGCCTGTATACCTCCTTGTTACCGGACGTAACTGTGTATATGTATGCATCCCAAACAGTAACTTTCAATTTGGCTGTCTTCATGTTTCTTTTTTTACAGCCCCCTCCCCCTTGATAAGCTTTTGCCCCCGGATCCCCTGTTTAGCTTACCCCAGACCCCCTGCTAACAATTTATTCGGCGTCCTTTTAGCTGTGCTGGATTTATAAATACGCAGCCATGTCTGGTCGGAAAGGGTACTTTTAATTTGATGTCTGGTGTATGTTGTGTCGTGCCCTCTTGCACATTAAAGAACCCTTGTAAAAATTATCTGTCTCTGAGGGGTCCATATAGGTGGCGTGTTGCAAGACGTAATTTCTGTCCCTCTCCAAAATTACCTAAATTTCCTGTAGCAGTCCAAATTGTCCCCACCTATCACCATAAAAATATAACAAAACTAACATATTTATTATACAAAATATTTTTGCATAGTGTAGCAAGTTCGTGTTTAACTAATTAAATTGCATCCCCTTTTAAACGAAATAAACACGCATGACACGGAATAAATTGACACAATTTTCAAACATATATATAATAAAATTCCGGGTACAATCTATTTTTACATACTTTATTTACCAGCAGATATGGTTTAGGTTTTAATCTGGATAAAACTGGATATTAAAGGTGTTATCATATACACTGAAAACATAAATTAGTCAATTTGACCAATTTAATTGGTCATTTTGACTGTCCTCTAGATGACAATGCACTTTAATCATTTTGACTATGCTCTTTGTCGTTTGACTAGATGGGTAGTCACATTTGACTGAGTAGGGTGGTAATTATGACTATGTTTGGAAGTCAAAATGACCATATGTTATACTCGTTATGACAAATTGGATTGTTCAATTGACTATGCACATTTGTCAGTTTGACAATTGAATGCAGTCCATATGACTTATTGAAATAGTCGAAAGTGACCATGTTGTTTAGTCAACATGATTACTGTGAATAGTCACGACTGTTAGACTGTTATTTTAATTTGTGTTGTGTTTTTTGTTCCACTAATTTACTGTGTGTGTGTTTCTATCCGTTTTGTACTTTTATGTTTCATTCTTCTGTTATTCTACTTTTT